TCTTCCTTGCTATTCTTACTCGTGGGGCTCTAGGGAGAGAGTCCCCTGTGTTGTTATCGAGCTCATTCGCAGAACTTCAGTTCATACGAATGGATTGTCTCGGCCTCTCTGCTCACTCAAGTTTAAAAATGTAGGAGGATGCTTTATCCGGAGAGTGGCCGCAGTAAGTCAAGAGGGTTGAATTACTTTCAGAGAGTTTGAGAATTCCCTCCGGTGAGCCTACAGGTCACCGATGGTTAAAGTGGGTGTCGGGGATATTGAAGCCTCCAGATAGAGAAAATGTCCGAGGTCACAACATCGCGACTACCTCCACTCGAGATCTTTGCGGATTTAGACGATCCGGATGTTGGGACACCTTACTCTGCAGATAAGCTTCGAGAATAGCTGATACTTTCCTCTGAGCTCTTTGGTGCAGATCAGAAGGAGGAGTCGGGACGAAGAACGATTCCTGACAAAAAGCCCCGAACTCCCTAAATTTCCTATCCGTCAGATTCTCTGAAACAATCCGGCGCTATTTCTTGTCGGAGTCTGTCTATTCATCCCTAATGAACTCACGAAAAATTCCCGAGATCATTCCCACGAAGCTGCCCTGGAGCCCACTGTGATGAGAGAAAAATTCTTACTCGCGCGCTCCTCGGAGAAGGATTCCAATGGACCTGGATGGCCCGTGACAGCAAACTTCCTAGAAAACATCTCCGTGAATTCTTCAGCCATGTTGCGAGCTCCATGAAGGATGGGGATCGTGAAGGGACGTAAACGAGAGGTTTCATCGACTCGATGAACGCCAGCAATCACCTCGGCGAAGAGTTCCGGATCAATTCGTGTTGTCCAATAGCGAGCCGGCGAACGCGTGAATCGCGGTTCCGTGTCACGAGTGAGGCAAGGTTACGTAGGCAAAGAATACAGATGGTGCGATGATTGTATCACACATTCTGAAGAATGAAGTCTTGCCGCAAATTCTGTTGTACGCGTCGCTAGTATTTCTGAAAAGTGTGCCGTAAAGAGCAATTCCCTCCGGTGGGATATATGGCGCTGTATTGCACCACCACCTAAACTTCTGACCCAGAAAACGCTTCCGGCGCATTTCTCTTCCGCCCTCCGCTCCTCTTCATTCAGAGCATATCTCCGAGGATAGGGGTGTCCAAACAAAACTTTCAACGTGAAACCGTCAGAGAGTGGACTCTTCCTCACTCATATAGAGCCCCTCCCGCTTCGAACATCCGATCGGGGAAACGAATTACCCGAATGGAATTTAAAGCGCACTGGGCTCCCTCGTCTTTCCCAATCACTCGGCCGGCAAAGAACATTACGCTCCGTAGACATGCCATTAGATGCGTCAGACGAGTCGAGACGCAAGATCTAATATATATTTTTGGTGTGATGGAACGAAAAGTTGATTCCTTTCCACAGTGCTCGGGGAAAGTCGGGAATCAGATTAGAATCCGTCTGGTCTCGACTGGTAGCTTCCCTCCGTCAAGACGAAAAGACGAGCGCGGAACTTTCGACTCATCGATCTCGGATCCGAGGATCGATTCAGGTTTCCGCGTGGTCAAACGCCACGCAATCCCGAACCACCGAAAGCGATCTAGCGACGGATTTGAATTCGCACAATCCGAGGGAGGAGGAACCCCCGCGTGAATCCGAGCTCCCTTTCCGGTGAGCGGGGCTCGTTTTGTGTTTTCTGTGGCGTAATGACAACTCATTCGTGCTTCGCCCATCATTCGATGCGGCTGCAGCGGGCCGCGATGAATTTTTGCGATGATCGTCTTCTGAAACATTTTGGTCACGTTTTCAGAAAATAGACAAGCGCCGAACAAAAGACCCCTTTAAGGCAACTGAGGTCATTCATTGTGTATACCGAGATGCTTTTGTATTGTGTGAAAAGAGTGACCTCAGATGGACACTTAATGGAGCGCTTTTAATGGCGGCATATCTCTCCGCAGGCCACTATTCAGTCGCCTATCCATCGATTGCGATCCGGTTCTCATTTATTCTTCCGAGAGAATGCGCTCTTCCTCACCATCCCGAGGAAAGGAGTTTATGTATCCAGAATGAAGATTGATGCTGCGATGTTCCATAAGAGCTCGAAGCCTCTATTTGCTCAAGGGGCGAATGCTTGATTCGCATTTCAAAGAGCGGAAAGTTCCGCTTGCACCGCGAGGTAGCCTGGCGTTGCTCCCGTTCTTTGTGTTGTGTGCATAAGAAGTTTGGTCTCACGGAACGTTTATCGCCATTATAATTTTCTCTTTGGAAGGCATCTGAGGAATTCGCTAGAATTCTGTCTCGGAACTTTTTCCAGTGATTCTCTGGGGCCATTGTTTCGAGCGACAAGGCGGGACGGCGGCACGGACGCATCTCGACCGAGAAACCAGCTGAAAGGCTTAGCTAGTGGAACGCAGCTCGGGATTGGATCGGAGGAATGAATTGAGCGAACTAATAAATTAAGGGAAGACGTAAGGGTTCCGGAGCTCGTCTTCGGACGGAGCGATGATCAAGGAGGGCTCAATCCGGCTCCTTCCTTTGAAGAAAGGCCTCGAGCAGACCCGAGTTTTCTTTTTTACTATAACCCACCCGGGGACAATCGACGCGTGATTCGATGAAGTCGGGACGCTGTGGGAGAATGTTGTGACGATGCTTGCTCATCGCTTGGGAGAACACACCGATCAGAGCTCGCCGCTTTCTTCTTCGCTGGTTCGAGCCGAAAAACCACGAGTCGTTCTCGAGGTTCCTCCCGTCATTCCGGAAACGTGGAAGTTGACGAAACTCTGCTCCCCTGAGGAACAACATTAGGGAGAGGAAAAATTGGGAGACCGTGCTCGTTCCCGTCAGCGTGGGATTGTTAATTCAATTCAGGGAGCATTCACCCCCTCACTGTGACCGACGCTGGATTGTCGGGGGGATACGGCATCTGTCTCCGTGAAATGATTTCCCGGGCTCTGTAAAGGGCAGATCGGACCTCGCGACTGGTGATGCTTCATTACATCTTGTCGAGCGCAGAGCAATGGGCCGATTCGTCGATTTCCAAAGAGTGGCCGCCTCGACTCTTTCCTCTGTGAAAATCGACCCGGAGAATCTCTCTCGAACTCTCCGTGCGACCGAATGTGGACGGTTTCTTTCCGGTATATCAAGTACGATGCATCTGCAATTAATGCGCAGCGGAATTATGGCGACTCATTGTTGCCCTTACCTCGTCGAATGTGGGAGGTCGGGACGCAGTGGATACAGAAGATTGGTCTCATTTCCCAGTGGCGAACATATCTTCACTCACTGCCGAAGCGACATGAAGAGCGCTCTCTTGCTTCTCGCGATCGTGATTGGCTCCGTTTGTGCTGGACGACACGGGGGTTGGCAAGTCGGATACGGTGGCAGAGGCGACGGAGAACGTCACGGCAACGGCTGGAGAGTCGGTGGCTACGGAGGCGGCTACAACGGAGGATGGAACAATGGATATAATGGCTACGCAGGAAGATACGGAGGTGGCTGGAACCGCGGCTACGGCGGTTATGGAGGCTACGGTGATCGAGGTGGCTACGGCGGGTATGGAGGCTACGGCGATCATGGCGGCCACGGCGGTTATGGAAGCTATGGAGGCTACGGCAATGCATGGAACAGCGGTTACGGCGGCGGATACGGAACCGGCTGGAACCAAGGATACGGCAACGGATTCGGAGGTGGATGGAACCGTGGTTATGGCGGCGGCTACGGTGCCGGCGCTCACTGGCGTCGTGAAGGATCCTGGTGATCGGTTGTTTGCGGAGCCCTCAATTTGTGCATTCGATCCCTGCCCGCCCACTAATAAAATTCGTCCAGGTTTGCTTTGCTGAAGACCACCTTGCTCTCCCGTCATTTGATTTGATCTATTCCTCACCCGAAACAGAAAATTGAAGTTCTTCCCTTAACTTCTTGAGACTTAGACCGCGCAACCGTTCGGATAAAAAGCCTCCATCTAGCTTAGGAATAAACCGCGACCGGTCCCGCCGGAGAACCCGGACGAGATTGAGCCGAACCTTCGAGGTGAAATTTCTGGGCTTGACCTTCTTGGCTGATCCGGTATTGCACGAGATTGGACATTGACGAATCTCTGCGGGAAAGTTTCCCTCCTCGCTCTCCCGATCTGACTCTCCCTCTGACATCAGGAGGAGCCAGGAACGACCGAGTGGGATATCTACCGAGGGACCGGTTGGGCTACAGCCCTTACAGGACTTCTTGATGCTCGGGCTCGGCACTCGGGCTGCCGTTTTGGATTCTCAGTCCCACGAGGAACCCGATCTGCCCCTATTCCCGGCGGGAAAGTTCTGGCTACGCGTCTCCTTGCATTACTATTCGGTCGGCGGATACCGCTCACGTTCTTGTCTCAATGAGCATGATCTTACGCCGGGGCCCTCGCATTTAATCAATTCGGGTTCGGGTGAGAGCTGTTCGAGCTTGAATCGTTCAGATTGAGCACGTATATAGAATCGCTCGCATGATCGTTCGCCCCCTCCGCGAGCTCATCTCGCAATCGAGCCCGAAATGAATGAGCGGTGGTTCTGCGTGAGGTCGATACCATACGGCGTCGATGGCCTTATCGTTGAGCGTGTCGTAAGCTTGTGGAAACGTACGGTCGTATCGTTGCACTCGGGCATCTCTTTCGAATTCCTTCCCCTTTACGGCGCCGTTGAGGATCGTAGCAGAGTCCGCTGGCTTGCTGAGAATTCAACCGCCCTTCATCCAAACGGCATCGCCTCTCTAGCACATTTCTCCTTTCCCTCGCTCTCCTTTGACCTATCGGGCTTCCATCGTAAACATCGGTTGAGGGAATTTCAAAAAAGAAACGCGAAAACGGAACTGGCATGCTCTCGCTATGAAAGTCGAATTGACCCCATCTTTCGTTGAGCTCGAATGAATGAGTCGTTAGCTCAAACCAAGCTTTGAGTCGATCGAGCCTAAATTCAGTTATTCAATGAATATTGCTAGGAATTGAATTAATGCATCTCAACGTCTCGTTTGCATCGTTTCAGAGACGGACTCTGTGCCTTGGATGGTTTTCGAGTTCATGCAGTACGGAGACTTGGCCGAGTTGCTGAGAGCGAACGCATACAAAAGAACACAGAACGACACCGGCGAAGGCGAAGACGTTCCTTTCATGAAGATATCTCAGGTAAGCACTCACACTTTCGGTCTGTGTCCGAGCTCACAGGACTGTTCTGAGGTCAGACATTCGAATACTAGTTCACTGTGTACTCATGAAAGCTTCCTTTCCATCATGATTACCGAGGTCAACCTCTGAAGAGCCACGGTAGGGATGTTCGCGGCGGTTTGACTTCCAGTGGATCTCCATAAGAGAAGCCCCTCCAAACGATGAGCAATGAGTTCCGGTATCCATTTGCCGAAACAGAAAAATCGGTTTCTCTCACGCTCGAACTCGGTCCTTCGAACCGGTGTGGATTGAACCTCTCGATATCTCCCGTGAATTTACGCTTCGCGAGAAACACGCAATCACCCGACGGTGTGAATGGAGAGAGCTGACGCTCGGGCTCTTTTAAGCCGCGAAACTTCACCCGAACCCTAAGTCCTCTGCTTCTGGGACGGGGAAAATCGATTCCGATTTGTTCTCGATCCAAATATTCTCGAAAGCAATATGAGCTCCTGCTCGGCTTTGACGTCATCCGCTGACCCACCCGAGTAGTCTCTCGGTACGCTGACGACTTTCGGTACACAGTTTAGAAAGGTCGAACGATCGACGCCAGTCGAGGACCGTCTTGTTTGTTTTGTGTTTTTATTGACGTCGTAACGCTGTTTGTTGTTGAGGCTTACGGTCATTTCATGACGTCCAGCGATTCCAGATACTCGAAATTGATGGGGGCTCTCAATTTTCCTCGTTGACCGAAGCTCTGGACGTCGAGAATGACTGACTGAGGTAATGAGCAGGAAGTGTTCTTGCGGTGGAGGGACGCAGTGGAGCGCTCTGAAATCGAGAATGTCCTCGGGCGGGAAGAGTCCAGCCGAGCGTAAAACACGTCGAGTCAGCCCCCGCTTCAAATCCTTCATTTATACACCTACTAAATTGCCCTGAAGGTACCGCAAGCTTTCGTTGCGACCTCCCAATCGATGGCAGAATGCATCCTTCTAGCGGCCTCAAGTGATCGTGAGCGCTGTCGCCAAGGATTGGAAATAGCATCGTGATTCTCTTCAGGATGAAGTTCGAGAATTACGAATATCAAAGCCTTCAACTCCATTAGCTATCTACAACTTTGGCCCCGGAGGTCCTCCTTCGCTCTCACCCACATCTCGAAGTCTACGCGCTCTCGACTTCGGAGCCGCACCTCGAGAATATTTTTCTTCCGGAAATTTTCGAGACCTCCTGGAAAAAAAGTCAGAGCTCACACCACGTGGAGGACGATGGCCCCTAAAATCGAAGCGACAAACTTGAGGAATGCAATGATGAATTTATTCAAGTCCGGAGCCGAATTTGGGATAGAGTTTTCGCCAACGATTAGGCGCAGGTGCGCTTCGACGTCCTCTTCATCTTCTCGAAGCTGGATCACGTGTGCTTTCTCAACTCGGAACGGGGACACGCAGGAGACGAATTCCATGAAGCGGGTTAGCCCGAGGCCGCATTCTTTCTCGGCCTAACGCTCTTTCTTGCCGACGAGTGCCTTGCCGCGTCCATTTCATGAATTTGCGACAGCAACAGCAGTCTCGCGATGCCGTGCTTGAATTGGTCTCTCATTGGGGTAGGGAGCGTTTCACTCACTTTCGCCGCGAGTGGTATGAGGGAAAAGGCGAACTTCACGAGGTCTCCAGTCTGGAACGCATCCCACGATCTCCAGAGTAGAGACGGGATCGTCACTTCCTGTACCGCATTGGAATGCGAAGTCCTTTTCGGCGCAGATTTCGGCTTGGTGACCCTCGAAGGCTCTCTGGAGACCTGTTTCTGGGGTGGAGGGCGGGGTCCGGTCTTTCTAGAAACTTCGGGCTTCGGAGTGGTCGAGCGTTGTCGGACATCTTCGAAATCTTCGCAGTCTTCATCGATACAATCGTCTTCACCATCTTCGTCTGAGCCGTAATCGAGGCCAGTGCGGTCTTGGGTCTCGCCGATTGAGGCGTCCTCGAAGTCTTCGTCCTCAGCTTCGTCACCGTAGAATACGTCGGTAGCTTTGAGTTTGGAAGCGGAGTTCGCTACCTGAGACTTCGCTCCGTCGATTGGTGGGCGCGTTCTTGACACCACTCGCTCAGCGTTGCACAGAAGAGAATAGCACAGGAGGACTAGGATGCTCAGTGTCAATTTCTGCATCTTGCACGCGAAGAGGTTTCTCAGTGTCGATCAAAATGCGCTCGGTCGAGTTGGGAGCCGTTTTATGAGGCGTCCCCCGACCCAGGCTCTCTTTCCGCAGGGGGTGAGGTCACTGAGGAATTTCGGAAATATACACAGAGCGACGAGCTCACGCTTGATTTGGGGTGGCGGAGATGCGCATCTCGCTCTCTCTCATGGTTCTGAGGTTATGATTCCAGAGTTGATCAACGAGGGGTCGTGAGACGGATCGGAATGCATCGACTTCTCGGAACGCCGAGCTAGAAGTCGTGGGGCATGCAACAGCTACACGATTCGCGATTCCTGCGACTCGAAACAGTCGCCTCGAGAGTCCTCACAACTAGGAGCCGGTCGATATTCATTCAGCGCACCCGCGGACAATTCTTCCATAGGAAACCTCCATTTTCCGACCTTGAACCTCGATTCAAGCGTTCAGCTGTCGGATATTTAGTGACGCTTTAGGAGTTCCGCGAGGAGCGATTCCGCACGTACGCATTTAATTTTTGAGAATTACCGCCGATCACGTGAGCTCTCCGCCATGCTTCGGGTTCGCTCGCGGGGGCACCACGAGCGCGTCGCGCGATAGAGCGATCTCCTGAAATATGAAAATCGCGCTGCAAGGCACCCAATTCGAATCGACGTGAGTCGAACAATTCTCCTCGAATTCAAATTGGTTTCTGGACCGCATTGTCGGTATCGTCAGGATGGCCGAGTGGTCTAAGGCGCTGCGTTCAGGTCGCAGTCCGGTCTTCCGGGCGTGGGTTCGAATCCCACTTCTGACAAATTTTTTCCTGCCTTCGATCGATCCCTTTTCTCAGAAAAGCACGACATGAAATCGTAATACACGCTCCGTAATATCACCGAGCACCGAACATCTTCTGTACATATGGCGGAAGTTGGGAGAACAAGTCGAGATCCCGAATTCACAATGCTAAAAAAAAGTTTTCACGCTTGAATAACAGCTCCGATTTTCGAGGAATGCTTCTCTCACATGTGGCTCCATTCTCAGGAGGATCTTCCGAATATCGCTATGCAAATAGCGTCGGGAATGCTGTATCTGTCCACGCAGCATTTTGTTCATCGCGATTTGGCAACGAGAAATTGTCTCGTAGGGGAAGGTCTCTCCGTGAAAATTTCTGACTTCGGCATGTCCCGCGACGTCTATACCTGCGATTATTACAAGGTGAGTATGATTCCACGGGGAATCCAATCTGAACTATCAATAAGCGGTCTTTCTATGTTTTCTTCTCGCCCATGCACGTCATTGCTAATTATTAGTCCGAGCAGCTACTGAAAATTATCCCAACAGATCGGGGGATCCCGAATGCTCCCCGTGCGCTGGATGGCCCCTGAGTCCATAATGTACGGGAAATTCACGCTTGAATCGGACATCTGGTCGTACGGCATCGTTCTGTGGGAAACGTTCACTTTCGGCAAGCAACCTTATTATGGACATACGAACGAGGAGGTTAGTCCCATCGTTCGAGATGCTTTTGAGTAATGGGGTCCGTCAGCTCCCCGAGCGCGCGCCTTGATTGAGTTTCGATTCGGATCGGAGCGTTCTGAAGTTCCGGATACACAATCCCAGTGAGCGGAAAGGAGCTCTCTCTTGCGTTATGTAGAAAGCAGCAGCAGCGAAGCGAGTAACCTCAATGGAATTCGAGGCTCGACCGACCAAGGCCGAACGTTGCTGCGGATCTTTAGATTCGATTATTGCTTCCGAAGCATGTGAGTCGTTCCAGTTGCGCAATATTTGAAAAGAGGGAGGAAATGGGTCCACGGAGGGAAAAAATAGGAAGCCTCGGCAGCGGTGGGGAGATCCCTCCTCGATCCGTCATGCACGAAGTAAATTTAGTGGAAAATCTCCTTCTGATAGCGTAGCATCTTGATCTCTTGAGACGCGTCGTATGATGTTCCCTTCACGGAACTCTCTCAGTCCGCCCTCGCTTTGGTGGAGTTTGACGAACTCAGAGAACGGCCTCGTCCTTGAGCTTCATGAGTCCATGGACGAGAAATTTGATGTCTTATATACGAATCCCAGACAGGGAAATTGCAGGAGAGTCTTATGTTTTGTCTCACTCCATGAATTTCGCAGGTGGTGAAATTGATCTTGCACGGCATTCTCCTCACGGCGCCGGAGAATACTCCCGCACATATTCGCGAGATCATGGTACGTTGCTGGAAAAGCGATCCCCGTGATCGACTCAGATTCGCCGGCATCTGCGAAATACTCGAGGAAGGGTCGCTAGCGACGTCCACGAAGATGAAATCCGATGACCTCAGCCTCGACATGGATGACTACCTACTTCCGGTGTGCGACACATCGGAACTATAATTTGCAGCTCGGAGCCGCGCGTTCCAGATCAGAGACAAGTCTGAGGAGCAAAGTCTTTTCTGAACTATCCTCATCCCCATGGTGACCGGCAAGAGCTCCCTTACGCATTCTTTTCATTGAGAACGTGGCCGCGAATCAAAGATGGCGAAAGCAGGGACCTCCCTCGAACGCCGCCGCTGCAGCCGTTTTCATCGCCGCTTCGTGCTTCTTCCTAATCCGTGTTCAAGGGTAAGGATCGCCCTGGACGTGAATGCGAAAATCCAGTGAGGAATTCGGCACGCTCAAAACTGCGTGGAAAGCCTTGGATGAGCACGTGTCAGGATGGCCGAGTGGTCTAAGGCGCCAGACTCAAGGTAATCCTTGCCCGATAGTCGGGCGCGAGCATTCTGGTCCTCGTATGAGGGCGTGGGTTCGAATCCCACTTCTGACACACCTTTTCTCCAACTTTGCCATTTGTATACTTCATGTATCCGTCTCGACAGCGGAGACGACCTCTTATTCGCTAGAGAGAGATCTCGATTGTGAGTCTCTCCGCCTTGTCCGAGAGGGGGAACGATTGGCAGATTCTGACCAAAATAACGAGCATACGTACTCCTAGTTGAGTCTAGAATCGGAAAGCGAATCTGATACATCCGGTCTATCTACTCGAAGATTGTAGACACGGTCGAGAGCTTTTTCTCCTGCCTCCAAGGTGAGCTCTCGCTGTCCACGGATGGTCACCGAAAATTTAGTCGAGTTCGAACTAGACACGGGTTTGCTGTAAATTATCACAATTGGTATGTACATTGTGTGTATAATGTAAATGTCGTGCTTGAAAGAAGCCGGACAGAATCTATCATCCATCAATTATTCTGGTTGGAAGTAGCGGATATCGAACGTTTGAGGTTTGTCGTATTCAAGCGTTTCTTTCCGGAAGAGAGTTTCCGTCGATAAAGTTTATCGAACAGAATAGCTGCAGAGCTCAACGAATCGAGAGATTTGCACCGGAACAGTCCCGGCATATCGGATAAATTATGAAGTATATACTAGTAGATAGAATCCAGAAAAAGAGAACAATAAAAATCTTCTTGTAGAAATTAGTCAAGGCTTCCTCTTCTCCAAAAACCTCGACGGGCTGACCGAGGTGGGAACATGGAGGGATAGAAAAGAGACGAGGTGTCCGAGCGAGTTTTCACCGCGCTCGATGAAAACTAACGATCAGCTCTTGTGGTCGTCCGCACGTCAGCCGGGGGAAGATAGGGAGTCCGCAAAGCTTGGGGTCCTCTCAACTTCCACGACGCGCGTCATGCTTTGATCTGCGACGATTTCATGCATCTCTGCGAGCGTGAATCCTCAGCGGAGACTTAAACCATGGCACCGTGGGGATCGGGCCAGGGCTCGATCCCTCAAAAAGAGTTCTGGCTCCAGGTGATGTCATTCCGGTCAGCCGTGATCGTATAGTGGTTAGTACCTTGCGTTGTGGCCGCAATAACCCAGGTTCGAATCCTGGTCACGGCAGCTTATTTTGTTTCCAGAAGCGCTCGTGGATCTCGACCCCCTAATCTCGCTCAATTAGTAGGCTGGAGCTCGGAACTTGCATGGGACACGCATCGGAGGGGTTCCGCTCCGAGAAAGGGCTTGTAGCTGGAATCATGGAGCATTTTATCTCCTACAGAGAAACACAGGAGCTGATTCTCCGTCTTTCGGAAGTTCCTAGGCAATCTCTCCAAGAAGGGTTTATCGCTTCGGATTCCGACGGAAGGAGATAAATTAAGGAGGACGACTGAGCTAGTCTTCCTGGATTTCTTTCGACCAAAAAAGTCTCGTTTCGTCGTCCCGCGGACCCTGCCGTGATTTCCAGCCGTAGCTCTCAAGTGAGGAAATCCTTCTTGAATCCTCCGAGGTGGAGAAACGGATGTCTTGAATAGCGTTTTGTACTTAGGATGATGGTGGTCGCCCGGATGGGAGCGAGTTTTTCATTAAAAAGTGGAATTATCGCAAAAATTGGTTCCATCCGGGATCGAACCGGAGACCTTTTGCGTGTAAAGCAAACGTGATAACCACTACACTATGGAACCGCGTAACACAACGGGTGTCGATTTTTGGGAGAGTACTTTGCGATTGTGAACAGGGATGCGAACCCCGAATATCATCACAGTGTCTCTTCCAGAGAGGTTATCAGTTGTGCAAGATGTGAGATCAGGAGCGGCATGTCTAGGCTCAGCCATTTACAGTTGCCCCGGGGTCATACAAGAGAGATTTGCTCGCGCGAGGTAGCTCCGCCTGCCAACGTCAAGAATCGAAGCGAATGAAGAGTCAGAGCCATAGAATTGTACCCGAGAGCCGCGAGTAAGACTCCTTTCCCGTCGTGAGGTCCCCAGAACTCATAATAGAGTCGAACGATCAGACTCCTATTTCGGTTCCGGAGCTGCTCTTCCGCGTTGGGACTTCGAAGCAGTGAAGGAAGCTTGCCCGACAAGTTTCAGAAGATAGTGCGAGAAAAAGAAATCGAGCGAGATTCTGCACCGAGAATCCTCAGCATGAAATCTCGAATCGTTGATCGAGGAGCACAAAACCTAGCCGGGACATATGGAGAACCCCGATTCCAACGGTGTGCCCTCAACCCCCTTAGCATATTATCAGAGACTAATAATAATTCCGCTTCCTGAGAGCTGGAATCTGGAATTATTCCTTCCCGAGCGTATACGTCCGAGCTCGGCGATTCCGGTCTTGGTACAGCTTAGTGCCTCTGAACTAACTCCGAAGTATTCCCGGGATAGGCGCCTTGATTCCTCCATTAAAATCGGGATGAGGTTCTGAGAGGGAGTAGGATTTCTTGGACTGGAATGCGTATATTCCCATTCCTTCTCCGGACAGAAAGCTTTGGTCTTATTAGCCCCAATCAACCCGGAGCTTTGACCGGCCTGCCATGCTACAGAAGAAAGAGTCTGTTCCCTCGCGGTCTCAGATATTTATGTTTGTTCAGAGAACTCCCGCATCCGACTTTATACAATTCCATCCTCGAATCCCGAAGCGCCGAGTTCGCATACCCCGTCTCAGGATGACTCGGAAAAGAACATTGAAAACCTAATCTTCCACGCGGACTACCAGCGCAGTGAATCGATATAAATTACAGACTCTCCCCAGCTCGAGAAGGATGAGCACGATTGCGGTGAGGACCATGCATATTTACATCGTTGGCGAATGACAGGACAGTTGACCGCTCCTGTCCCTCGAGTCCCCACGATCAATCGTTGGGTCTGACAGCCAAGGGATCGCCTTCTTTCAGCCATTTCACCAAGTTTGCCGTCGAGGAAGCTGGCGGCGGAGGGAGATTCGGCTTCGGAGGTCCTCCCGAATTCAGGACGGTGAGGGTGAGATCATAGAGATCTTTAGGAATATCTGCGACGACAGGACTGTAGTCCTCTTTGAAGAGCAGAGGTGTTCCGTCGACGCTGGGGTAGCCGCAAGCTTGAATGCGCGCAACTTGCTGGATGAACTTGTAAACTTCGGGAGGAAGGTTCTTGCCTGAAGACGGGGAGAATTTGAGCGACTTCAGTATTTGATACCAGGCACTCATAACCTTTTTCCCTGTATGTATTCATAACAGTTCTCACCCATCAAGGAGGGAGGTGGAGGCGGGAAGGGCATCACTCGGTTTCCTCGTAGTATCGATGGTACCGAGCGCTGCGCTCCAGACGATCCCGGGAGCACGGTTTGGGGCAATTGCTGTTGTCTCATTTCCTTAGCGTGCATAAAAGCTTCGTAACAAGCTACGGAGCATAGAATTCCCTTTGCTCCTGGAAAGGAAAACGCCGACTTCACATCATCGGAAGAGCCAGTGAGAGCTCATCTTAGAATCGATCTCTGTCAGGGTTCACTCAGCTCCATGGGGCTTCTGCTACGACTAGGGTCGCCTAGTTCGAGCCCGAGAGTGTCAATCTCTCATTCTCTCCATTGAAACTCATCCGGAGTTCGATCGGAACTTGATTGAGTACTCAAGACTCGTACAGATGCGGAACCTTGCTATATATATGTTTATACTCATCACGGCCAGGGATTCCCTAGGCTCTAAAAAGCTGGCGGCCCTGCTCTAGTGAAAACCCGCGAATTTCGTGAGGCCTCTCTGATCATTATCGGACGCCTCGATCGAACTCACTCACCGTTGCCTCGATCATTTTTATGACTTTTCACGGCGACGAGACACTGCTGACACAATTTGAAGGGCGCTACAGGGGCACCGAGACCGTCTATCTCATAGGGACCCATTTGGTATTTGGGCAGTTTAGTCCATGCGATCCGGAACAGGTTATAGTATTTGTCTTTCGCCGGCAGGATTTGAGTGCAAAAATTCGGATAGACTCTGGACAAACGTGCTTCCTTTGAAATGTCATACATCATCAACGCCAGCATGGTTGAATTCAAGGGAAACATGTGATACCTGTAACATAGAGCCGCTCAGTGAGCTCGCTCGACCGAGAGAGAGAGATCGAATTTCAGAATGAATTCTTTTCTCGCTGTTTCCTCCGCTCACCAGAATCGAGACGTTTTCGTCACTCCTTCGTGTGGCCTTTGGAAGATGTGGGGACATTGTAAATTCAGTTTGCACATGTAGAGCTGGAAAGTTTTCACAGGGCAGAGAGGGTTCGGCGGATCGTCGAAGATCGGGCTGCCTCGGATCATTCCGTTCCATTTCCACTGTAAACGACGTCGTCCATCTGTCTGCGATTTCAGCAGGATGAATGATTCCTTCCGCATGGTATGTTGGTTCTCGATACCTGGAGAAATTTTCAACTCAATCCTTCAAGCGTTCGACGATAATCGAGGGGGATCGTATGATCAGATTGAGGAAGCGAGACGTACCGTCAGCTCCGAGATGGAGCATGAGGTCGAACCACACTTTCTGGATGAGGCCTCTCGGCGTATCGATGGCAGTCCAGAAATAATCTGATATCCGCTGGAGATCCTCATCACTGACGACCGTGTGGTCATTGTCCTTCCGACCGGGCCTTTGCATCTTTTTCCCAAGCCCGTCCTCCGCCCGTCCGATGGGAAAAGCCGGATTCTGTGTAAGATTAATTTGGTCTTATGGTCACGAGGAATTTTCGAAATCTTCCCGCATCTTAATCCTTCGTTCTTCCTCCCGCTCCGGATATCTGACTGCTTCGAGATGGAGAATCTTCGACAAGTCCTTCTCAGTTGAAGCGGCTCAATTCCCGCACCCGGAGGTTCATCAGCCCCGAGCAGGGTTCGCTGATTGCACGCCTTGTGAGAAACCTCCGAACTCATTGATTACCCGGAAGCGCTAACGAGTTCAGTACCTTTCAAGGATGTTGTCCTTCTCTGATCGGGTTGGGCTCCATGCTCTCAGCTCCACGAAAGAGGGTGCCGCGCCCGGAAGGATTCCCTGGACAGCCGACGAATACGAGAATGATCCGTTCCAGACTCCCAACAGCACCGATAGGCCGGTACGGCGTACCGCTCGTACGCGGGTTAGCTAAACTCGGACATGCGTGCCGGGGACGGCCGAGGTACTCAGAGGACGTTCGCTCTGATGCTACGCGACTGAGAGGTCCTGAAGCAAAAATTCGGGATGTCCGACTGCTCTCTTATGTCTACCTCCTTTGCAGACGAGTAAACACAAGCGATGATGATGATGGTCTTTGCTTCTCAACCTACAGAACTCGAGGCTGTGGACGAGATCCACAACAAAGTGATGTGCGAGCAAATGGAACTCATCAGAGAATTCCGATATTCTGAGAATTTGTCTGCCAGGGGGGGGGGACACAGAGATTTCTGGTGTGTACATCTCTACGAATCGGCGAGAGCTCAGGCCCTCAGAGTTGTGTGTCGGGTGTAATTATCGAGCATGGATGGATCATGGTGTAGAAGCTCACTCAACAGCTCAGCGCTTGTTCAGAATACGCAGTGATGGGACTATGCGGAGATTTCCCTATTCAATGACAAACCTCTCCATTCTTCCAATGTCTTTCTCGAGAATCTATGGTTTTCTGTCGGGGAATTTCCATCGATCAATTCCTTGGATCCTCGGGGGGTGGATATTTTGGAGTGCGCAATGATATGCTCTTATTTCTCTTTGAAATGACGAGCAGACAAAATTCGGAAGGGGTACTCCCGTGTGCACGCGGCCCTACCATACGCAAGGAGAAATTATTATACCCAGAAGCTTGTATACGAAAATCACTGATTTTCACTCGAAACCTGTCCCATGTCAGCGAGCCCCCATGAGAAGCGGATAGCAGCTTAGCCTGCCGAGTTTTTTCCCCCGATACATCACCGAGAGCCGGAATCATGTGCAAGATTCACCTTCTGAGCCGACAAGAGACCTCGCCTGTTCGCTATACTTGCGAGTGCTTCATGCTTCATGATCCAAGGCCTTGACATCTAGGTAGTTCTAGGGACGAAATTGGTCTGGAAGGGGTTTAAATCATTCGAGGTTTCGGCAGTGAAAGAACAGGCGAAAGCTACCGACAGGGCCATGTGCGCGATGAGCATCTGACAAAAACCGCAGCGATAGACCCGGCTTCTCTGACCAGGTGTCAGAACAGTTGGAACGAGAGAGTCTGAGCTTGCCTGCCATTGATTCCATGAGGATGCGGGAGCCGGGCATCCGAAAAATTGCAAGGGGAGGAGACAAGATGTCTGACAGAATGGAAAGGGCTCCCGCTCCGTGAAACGGAGCTCCCGACCGAGAACCGCAGAGGGAAGGTGCGCGGAGGTGAAGTCTCTCGTTGACCGGTATGAACATACCGAGTTCCATGTCATCATGAACGACAATGAACGACATGGGGTGAACGAAAATAGAGAGGTTCACTCGCGGCCTTCAGGATGACCATTAGACCGCTGGGCATCACAAAGACCCAGATGGCGCATATGACGTCGTGGTCTCGGATCACAATAATACAGAACATCTATGCTAAGAGAAGAGGCGAGCGTGACTATAGCGGTCGCTGATCAGGAAAAACTTACAATTATCGCTGTAGATGCACGGGATATACCTCCCGAGAGCGGCAGAGGACTACTCTGGAATACCCAGGGTGAATCATCTCCCTACATCTGGAGGGAATCCCCAGCGATGGTTAGACCAATACGGGGCTACCACTCCGATGATGCCGAGGATCCAGCTAGACCAGCCAAAACAGGGCAAGCCGGATCCGATTTTTGAATGTGACGAAAGAGCCGTCCACTCCGAAGGGAATCGAGGAAACGAACCGGGGTCGACGTAACGGAAATCCTCAAAACCGAGTCACCCCCGCACAGGAACCCAACGCGATGAGACGCCTCACGAGGAGTTTGCCAGACCTCCCGAACTTTCGAACTGGTTCAGTAGAGCATTCCGGGTCCTGATCAAGGCACAAGACTGCGGACCCTGTGGATCATCACTGCCGTCAATCATACAGGTGACTGAGTACATCAACCACCATATTTTTAACGGTGATACATACATCCTCATAGAAGAGCACGAAGCCCTATGCCGCAAAAGCGAGCGATTTACTTAGATCTCCATCCGAAGATATATAATACATCGACAATCAACGATTGCTTTTGTCCACGCAGTTTCGACGGAAAATCGGCCCAGATTAGCTCCCGAGCGTTCCGCGCAGCCAACCGTGCCCACGGAGTCCGGAGACAGGCCGTTGGAGACACTGACCCACGGGATAAGGATGCCCGAGAACAGACGAACTCTGTACTCACAAAAGGACCTGGTTGATGGGAGAATATTCCGCGATAGCTCGACAAACAGTGTTCAAGATATCCGCTCCTCAGCAAGGCACAGCGAAGCCAATAGGGGAACAGCGATCCGAGATTCGGGAGAGCTAATCATCAGAGAACTTCACAAGCGAAGCACAAAAAAAACTCATCGCAGAGCATCTCTGCGCCGGCCGCTCGAGACCCGTGATGGACGAAGTCGCCCTATTGAATGACCCCGATTCTAGTCGTCGGGTCGGCATCTCTCGTTTACTACGGAATCGAGGACGGATTCACGGATGTCTGAGGGATTCCGTGGGGATCGAAAACTCAGAAATCTCTTCCACGACGACTGTCCCTCGAGACCACAACCTCCCTCCAAGATCCGATGCCCGGCTCTTCGGAAATGTTCTTGTTATCTGACTTAGTTTCGGTTTCCGGAGAGCGACTTGAGCGGACTCCTAGGCTCTCGGTTCTGAGCCAAACCGGAAATTCTTTATGTCGCTCTATAACAATCATTATTCCCGCTGCGACGGGACTTCGGGCCCGCGTCTACGGCAGTCGACGATTCATTTCTCACCGCATATATTCTGCTTTCGGCAATTTCGGTATCTTCTCCTCGGAACCATGTGCAACGGGAAAAGCATCCCCAATGCGGCGATCCGTATCGCTGCCGCCATCCATTTCCGAAATCCGTTTCAGCGAGAGCGCTCTGTTAGGTTTTCAACAGGATGAGCATTCCCCGAGCTGCTGGCGTGGAGCCCTAAGGTGATCGTAGATCACTAAATGACTCAGCCACGAGTCTTCCATGAAGTTTCTCGGAGGCTCGCTCAGTGTCTGTGCACGAAGTGTCCGATCCTCTTCGGACTTTGCGGGTCTCCCCCGCATGTAAGACGAGTGAATCTCACCTACTTACATAAATTCTAAAACACAGACGGAAAACAGCCTGGATCGTTCGAATTTATTCCCGGAAATATTTTCCATGGTATTTCGCCTCTGAAGCTACCGGACACCTCCTTAACCCTCGAATCGGAGCTCGAGGGTTAAGGGTACGGAACAGACTCAGTCAGTCAAAACTTGAGCCGACTATCGTAGTTCGCACCGGGTGTCATGCCGCTCACTTCAGCGAGCAAAACGCTGCTCTTAGGAAAAGGCTGCAGGCGCTGCGACGCCCCCGAATCTCCCCGCGCTCCCCGGATGGTCATGGTCGTCACTCTCCTCCGCGTGCAACCGCGCCCTAAGTTGACTTAAGTTGCAAGCTCTCACGGCGGCGTCCCCAGCGCGCCAAGGGAGGTAAGCTTCTGTGCTTCCGCTTCTCTCTGAGCCCAAAAACAAAATGGCGACCGGGAGCTCCTCTTCTTGAGAGGGGACTACTTGCAGAGTAGTATCGAATGAACATGCGAGAGTGAAAATGAGAGAAGTGAAATTGTGACCACCTCAAATTCAGTGAGAATGTGAGTGTACACTAACATTGTGGAACATCGAGATTGCTGGGAGCGCGATGCCAGACGTCATGGAGCAATGGTGCTTTCGGGAATAAGAGAAACATCAATAACAACACAAGGCTACGATCTCTAAGCCCGGTGAGTGCTTTTCGAAGCCCCAGGATGACATTCTGCGTGGAGCTCTTATCCACTGACGCGTTCCATACCATTCGGCTCCGCATTTCAATTCGATCTGTCGCGGTTTTCGTTCTGTCGCTCATCTGAGAGGGATCGGAGAAGGCACTCCAAATTGTTTCGGCGAGCAAAAACTCTATTTGTCACGCAGAGATAGCCTGCTGTTTCGCGAGCCCAATTTTCACGGATCCGGGAATTTTCTGCCCCGCTCAAAAACAACCCCGAAAGACACCGATGCGGAGCTCCAGTGCAAGCCACGAGCCGGTCTTCGGTTCTCAGAAAACCCTACTGTGTCATCAACAGATCATTGACGCTCGGTTGGCGCTGGACTGCCATTGAAGCGCTGAATCTGTCTCTTTCTTGGTCAAGCGTCGCCGCATCGAATTCAAACCGACACGGGACAACCTGAGGAGCCGGAAGGGATATTCCAGTCACTTTTCGTACGAAGTGGGAATGACAGTCCAGTCGAATGGTTTTCTGTGCCTCGATTGTCTGGAGTTTCCGCATCAGTTGGCGGATGAAGGTGACCGGTCGCTGGAATATCAAAAACTTTGCTCGAATGTCTCTTCCGCCGACCTTAGCTCTATGTGTTTGGTTCCCGGTCAGAAAACTCTGCGGAGGTGTCGCCAATAGCTTTGGAAGCCGCGGGAACCCTCCCCCTTGGCTTGGAGAGCCTGCGGCAGCCATGACCAAGGCTTTCTAGCGGGTCTCGATCCCCTTCTGCCGTGCACTAGGGAGCAGTCCTTTTTGCTCTATCATACCCATGGGGTCAACGTGGGCATTAAGGAAGTAGGTTCTTACACTCAAGTTCCAAATAGAACTATCAGGCCGTGATGAACAAATCTCCCTCGAGAAGTCCCGTTGAATTTTTATTTTTGTCTTCGAGTCTCCTACTTGCCCTTCCTTCCGGCGCCCTGTTCATTCGAGCGCAAGAGTCGGACAGAACGTCTTCAGATGTCGTTCACCGAGGTGTCTTCTCGGCGAGGCATGCAGTCAGGAAAAGAGATGGGCGATCTCCGAACACATATTCGCTCCGCGATGTGCCGACTGCGTTCCGAATGGTGGAGGCCCGCGAAAATTGCCCCGAGCTGTCTCTTGAATATTTAGATGGTGCTTTGTTGTTCGAAGGACGAAGGAAACATTCGGTAGACAGGGGTCTCGATCTCGGAGGGCCAACATATTCGTCATTCCGTTATAGTTTGCTCGTGTTCCTTCACCGGAATAAGACCTCTTCGACGTCCTCTGCTGCACAAGAACCCCTGTAATCCACTCCGCTGCTCATCTAGTGGCTCGTCAAGAAGTGGACAGCCGTTGCGGAGTCGAGGGCTCGTCTCTAATTCTGACTCTCTAATAAGATGCCCCAGGGGTTGTCAATGATTCCACGCGGCTCTCCGAGTAAATTCATATTAGGTCGGTGTAATCGCGGGAAAGCGACATTTGTCCGGCAGTCGGCTCATCGCGAGAGAGGGAGGTCGAGGCTCACCTCCACCCGGGGTCCACCGGAGCGAGGAATCAACTACATATAAGTGAAGCAAGGAGTATTTTTTCTGCGCGGAGAAGATTACGCAACTCACTCTCTCCGTCGGCTCGTTTACTTCCCGCTTCTCTGTTATCTCGCTGAAGTTACGTGCCGAAAACCGTGAATGACTGATACCGCAGGGAGCGATTTTCCGTTAGACATAACATGTCTCGAGGCGTTCTTATTCTGATTATTTCGAAGCGACAACATTTTCCCCGGCGACGAAGCTTGACGCCGACGAACGGTATCCGATCCGGCGACCCTCGCTCTTGTTCCTCGGCCAGTGTATTCAGCTGATAAGCTCTCTTCCTGCGCTTCCTTCTCCTATCGGAGCTGAATCCTTCGTCGGTTGTCGTGTTTCGCTGAATGCAAGATCCAACAAACGTTCCACCTCACACCTCGAGGATCTGAGTGGTGATGCATGCACCGGAATCGATCGGAGTCATCATGACAGAAACTGTTTCGTGAATACGCTGCTTCTACCGGGTCAAGTCTTCGGATCGGCGGAGTGCGTTCTCCGAACATCCGGAGCTCCAGATTCGCGAAGTCCTAAGAATAAATGCCGTGTGGTTGTAGAGTGGATCGGGACAGCAAAAGTGATTGTCAACATGACGTGGATTCCTGCGGTCGCAGAATGCCGTTGGCGAGAAATCGAGGCACTACACAAAGTTCTGTGGTGGCTTGGAGCGTTCGGAGGTAAACCTAGTGACACGCTGTCGAGCGAAGATCGATGACAATGTCTCTGAACACATCCCGTAATCCGCGTATATTGTTTGGAGACTTCTGAGTGAGTGGCATCGATTACGATCTTGGAGACAGCGACGATCCTCCGAGAAGCAAGGAAATTTCTAGACCGATGCAAAAGGGAAAGTTTTTGATCTGATCATTTGTATGTTGATTGTTGGCTCAATCGGCTGTTGAGCTCTTAGCTTGAAGCGGTCTCCGTGCTATTCAGTTAAATTCAATCCAGGTCGAATTCGACACTTGCACTCACAGACCAAATATTTCCAGCTCAATGTGTAGGTATTCGTAAACCAGTCCTGTGTCCTGCGGCTTCCCGAAACGCGCGTAAACCCAGTGTCCGATGTGTGTGTGCCCGTACTGTTCAGAATGGTCACCGAGTAATTGTCGGCTATATTTGCATTCTCATTGTTTTCGGCTTCTTCGGAGCAGAAAAGGAGAGAAAACACAATGAAAAGCTTTAACATATTGGGTCAGCGTTGTACAGTCCGGGCGATCCACAATCGCCGTTCCGCTGGATAAAACTCGAGAAACTCAGTCGTCTGGTCAGGGATCCTTGTTCGGGGACGACGTGTTCGGCGAATCGGTCGTTCGACGCTCCATCACAGCATAATGGTCTCTTCGCGACTTTCCACCGTGGCTCCCGGTTTCCACCGTATTCTTTATAGAAGATGGTTGGGGAAGACAACAAGATCGAACATCGATGATGTGAAACCTGGAGGGATTCAACGAAATTTCGGGCCCTATACGATCCAAGCGGATAGATAGCTGATACCCTCTCTGAGCCTCCCTCCTATGTGTGAAACGGAGGTTTGAGAGGTCCCCCCCTCCCGAAGAGGATTTTGCTTCGGGAGAATTTTCAACGGGTCTTTCTCTCCGGCTCCCTGTGCCGTTGAGGCATGCAATAGAGTTCCGCGCTATGCGTCACAAGAAATCGACGGCGACGATCAAATCTCTGAATCGCTTACGTCAGAGCCGAGCTGGACGCGGCGAGCCCAATCGTGAGACCATCTTTAGTGACGAATGCGTGAAACGAACCGCTCGGGAGAGCGACGGTATGGAAGCGCTCGGCTCATTCTATTGGTCAGCACCGAGCCCCAGATGGAGAAGGCGACGACTCGTTCGCCAGGTGTTGGCGAGCGCTGACATTTTATTGGGGAGAAATTTGGAGGAGCTCCATAAGCTCTTTCAGGAGAGACGGAAAACACATTCGCGGGGAACATTTGTCCCTATGTCACCCATCGCGAGGGGATGATTCTCTGTCCCTCGCTGTATTCCCAATCGGTCAAGTAGAATATCTGCGTCGCCTGGAAAGCCAATCGCCAAATGAAACAGCGTGGCGCTAAGCTTTTGTCTGCGCGGATCCCGTCTTGGGTCGAGGCACGCGGCCGCACGCGAGCTCATGAGTATACTCAAGATCCGAGGCTCGGGTTCTACCGAGGTAGAAGCTGTTCTTCGCTAACGCAGCGGAAGGAGGTGTGCTGCGCACATGCTTAACATTACCTTTTTTTTTTTAATTGCAGAAAGTCGAATGGAGGGCCTTCAGGCGCGGGAGATACTCCCGTTGCTCCAGGAACGTTTCGCCATCCTCTCAGGTTCGTATTAGAATAGATTGTCGGAACACCTACTTTCTCTGCGTCCTCCAGGGGTCCGATTGCATTTTTCCCATTTTCATTCGTGCTTCTTGTATCCGCGCTCGAGAGCTGGTCAATCGAAGGATCATGGAGTCGAGCATCTTGATCGGGAAGCAGGCAAGCCGAACTCCTGCTCCCGATAAGGTTATTGAGCTCTCAAGATACACCCATGGGACTGATTCGGCATAAAAGAAAACCCCGTTTAGGCCTGGAGCCAAACATCGATCGAGGGCATATCTTGAGGATTACCTATCGGAAAAATCTCTAGCTGACGCTTGGGCTTAGAGGGGGAAATCTACCCCTGCATCCTTCGAGCTCCTCGACAAACGTCGATTGGGCTATCCATCGACGGGCAGCATCGCGACGTCCGCCGTCGTCGAGCATCGTGTCTGACCGGGAACTGCAGATATAACTTCGGCTAGCGACCTAGAGATGGGCTCTCCGCATTCCGGTTATATGGAAAAAATCGATCGAATCTAAAAGTCGTTCGCGAGTCGAGGAATAGTTATGTTTCTCGAGAAACGGCGCGACGTGTCAATGTCGCACATTCCTCCACCAAACAGAGCGAACGATTCGTTTGGGAAATCGGAGCACGAGTGCTCCAGCTTCTGGTACATACTGATGTCTGTTTTCTCCAGTATTATCATCGTACAAATAAGCGACAGACGAGCAGTAAGCGACCCGAGCCCGCTTCTAGCCGAGCAGAAACAGAAAGGCTGACTTCATCAATTTCTGGCTGTTGCGAAATAAGAGTTGTCCACGCCATACGACGATTTGAGGTTGCGCCTCTACATTGCTGCCCACGTCGAAGGCCGTCGCTTCTAACACATACAACCCCCAGACCTCCAACATCATTCCGAACCCGACTGATTTTTGGGATCGGGCTCCATGGGGTCCGTAATCGACTAAGTGCGCATCAGCCACCTCAAGAATGTCCTTCTAGACTCCAGAGTCTAGACTCTAGACCTTAGAAGGCTCCTCTGAGCTCCCGAGATGTTGGCACCCCCTCAGATTTCAAAGAGAGGTCCCAGAGCAATGCTCGGCCAGTCTCGGAGGATATGTGGTCCTTGCTCATAGCAAGCTCAACAATAACCTCCATTGGAGAAGTCATACCAAGATCGGACCACCGTGAGCATACTGTTCCCTGGGCGTGATTGTATCCGTTGATTGGGACGTTTCCGAACGTCGCCCTCGTGGGGGACGTGTGGCTCTACGGCTGCTTCGCGAATTCCGGCTTGGAGCGATGCGAGATCATCTACTGCTTGAGATCCCCGGAGTTCCATCGTCAGGGCTAATTTGCTGGAATAAGTCAGAAAGAAACCGCGGGATCGGCCGGGTCGGAGTCCAGGCTCCGCTGCGGGTAGCTGTGGTTTATTTGAGGTACGTGCAGGTTCAGGCTAAATATAGTTCCCACCTAAGACTGCGGCGAGTGAAAGAAAGATGGAGTTCGAACAGGGGATTTTTCGTTCCATCCGTGGACGGAATTCGTCTAGACCCGCGGCGCTCAACCGATTATCAGGCAGCCACCAAGATGCCGTCCCCTCGATCATTTCGACCATGGACGATAGAGTTCGGGAATCAATGAAGGAGGGGGGCGGCTTCAATCAATAAAGATGTATTGGAGCGGGAAACACTTTGAAAATGAGTTTCTTTCGTATTGCAGGAGGTCGCGATCGCCATGGAGGCCCCATCGTCACCTTCCAGTCGGGGAGCAAACTCGAACGATTCAGTCCAGAAGACATCACCAAAGTACTTGTGTACTTCTCTGGAATTCCCAGGTTCGGATGCCACCACGGAGACGTCCGAGTTAATTTATGTTAAGTCATCGATTAGCTACCGACCATCATCGAATAACGCTCCCGAATCTCATTCACAGCGAGGAGTCGCGAGTTTGCGGCTTCACTATAATCGTAGACATGCGAGGCCAGCAGACGTGGGCAGGAGTGAAGCCTGTTCTCAAGGTGTTGCAAGAGTCTTTCCCAGCGAAGGTGCGCACGGTGTACATCCTCAAACCAGACAATTTCTGGCAAAAGCAAAAAGCATCTCTCGGTAGCTCGAAATACGCTTTTGAGGTGAGTGTTCTGCTCCGCGGTCCGCTGAACAAAGCGGGGAAGCTCCCCGTATTCATAGTCGCTCCGGCGCGTCTTCTTGCACATACTATCCAGTCAGCTTCGACATCGATTCGCTGACGTCAGTGCTCTCTGCCATGCGAGTAATGAGGACCTCTCGCGGAGGGGAAAATCACAGAAACGAAGTGCGATTTAGCTGAGAGCGGCGATTTTGTACTGACCCGGATCGGGCTCCTTTGTTCTGGAATTTCCAATCAAGCAATTCGTGATATAAAGGAATTCAGCTGTAAAGTGCATTGATTCGGATTACTTGTGCCTGAAAAAGATTCTCCTCTGCACGGAAATTCCCGAGGGCGAGGAATCTGCTCGAATATTCTGATTTACCGGATCGGGAGCGGAGGAAAAAAAATATTCCCCTCGGATGTTTTTCGAAGCGCCCCCTTTTCCCGATTGTGTGTACAAACAAAATTGCAAGGGTTTGAGCAATACTTGTGAGGATTCGTCAATATTTCTGGCGGCGGCCTCCCGTCGTCTACGACGGAAATGCGTCCAGCCGTGCATCTTCAAGAGTAAATCCCACCGTGCTCCGCTAGGCGGACTTGGGTGTGATGCGTTGCGCCTCGTCTCTCGCGCTATCTTGTTTTCCTCCCTCTTCCAAGCCGAGTCTACCGTTCGGTAACCCCGTTTCCGTCTTATCTCGTGTCGTAAAATCACTCCCTCATAAACTCCCGGTGCAAGCTATCAGAATCGCACAGCCGGCGCCTCGAACGACATCATCCTCAGTGGGGAGCCACAAAATCTCAGCGAACAAAATTAATATCGATCGGTCGGGTACCGACGGGACGGGGAGACGGAGACATCCTATAGGGAGCTCCACGGAATTTCATCGAGATACTTGATTATCGGAAAAGTCGTTCCGGTGTCGACATAAGCCGGGACAGAATAGCCTGTGTTGACGATGCTGTTCGCGGTATTGGTCCACGGACTCCATTGCGTACGATTATTTGCGAATAGCATTGTGAAATGAGCCCGAGATCTGGCAAGGGTCTCCGATCGAGAACGACTCCCCTAGTGTTTCCTTCCTTCCGTAGACGATGATGATCTCCGCCGAATACTTGCCTCGTATCATAGACCATTCGCAATTGACGCCCGACCTAGGAGGAGTACTTTCCTACGACAATATCCAATGGTGCGAACTCCGGATGGCGCTCGAAGGCTTCCTATGGAAAATGCAAGACATTCTGACACGACTCGAAAGCTGGAAGCAGGAACTCGTCAAGAAAAATTTCGCCGGTGAGCTCGCGTACTGATTTGCGGATTTCCAGCCTTCCTGGAATATCTGGAGGACGAAAAGTCGCTCTGTCGCTCACACCGTTTTTCCGTCCCTCAGACGATGTCGAACGCGCCAAACAGTTGATGGACGAACACATGACGGCGAAAAAGAAAATTCTTCAAGTTCCTGTCGAAGAGGTCAGACACGAAGGCAAACAGGTGATATGTTCGCTAGGCGATACGAACCCAGATCTCGCGCAAATGGGTCCGCAGATAACTCGAATGCTCGAGACAGTCCGAGTTACACAACAGCAGATACTTCAGTTGTGGCATGTTAGAAAGGTGGGTGCCGGTCTGGTTCGAGTGGTGCGAATCGACTTCGACTTCTACTTTCCGAGGAATCAGGGGAGCACTGGGTTTTTAAGCTGGACGATAACTCAATCGATTCCCGCAGGTGCAACTCGAACAGTGTTTACAACTCTTGGTGTACCAAGCCGACGCACAGAAAATGCTTGATTGGATAGGTCATAATCGTGATTTGTTCCTCGTGGGTTACATGGACATCGGACATTCTATACAAGATGCCGAAGCCTTGCAGGAAGAACATCAACATTTCACCGTGTCCTCGAGGGTGAGTTCCCACGATGATCCTGATTCCTAACCCACCTATATAGGCTTTCCCATCGGGGGAGGACGCGATCCTTTGGTTTCGTATATATCGAATATTGATCGGATCACGACAGCTTTTCTCGATCCGATGACCTCGAAGCCCCGATTTGGGGCGTTGCAACGATGGATGGGCCTACAGGTGTCCGTCCCCTGATTGATTTGTCGCTTGTTTTGATCCTCGGCCTGGATATGTACTTGTGAAGCTTTTCAATGGTGTCGGTCAAACACCGCCGGACCTCCCCGGAAATCCTCGAAGTCCATCGGGGCCTTCTCCACCGTCAGGTTGTCCTTTCCGAGAGTCGACAATGGGTTTCTCGATGACCGTTCTTCCCCTTTTGAGGAAAATCGGAGCAGCGAGAGGACATGCAGGAATTCCCCAAACCGAACTCAATGCTCTGACATCTCCGCATCCGGTCCTCGAATCCGTTCGGAATAGGGGCATACTTTCAATGCTTTATTAAAACTGGTCTATTCTGACTTTCAGAACGTTTACGAAAACATTCATCGGGTTATCGTCTCTGGTAACCGGCTTATAGAGTCCGGACATTACGCGACAGGACCAGTCCAGCAGGTCGCGTCAATGCTGGACCGAGCTTGGAAAGAGTTCGCGTCCTGGCTTGAGCAGCGGACTGCTGTACTCGCATTGAGCGTCGTGTTCCACCAAAAGGCCCAGGCGTAAGTTAATTCTCAGCGAGAAGCTGAGTTTCCGATCACTTCCCGGGCGCGATGTGATGACGATCTTCGAGACCACGCTTGTTTCCGGTCACACCTCGAGATTGTTTGCCTCGTTCCCTCGACCTCGAGGAAAGAATTCTCAGCAGGGTTCTCGTTGCAGATATTTGACAAATGTTCCGATATGGAAAGCGGCCAACGGCGTTCAGCAGATTCCACGGGAAGTGGCGGAGCTCGAACGACAAATTCATGAGCATCAAGATGTCTTTGATTCCATGTGCCAAAGCTATACCGAAGTTCACTCGGCTTCGAAAAGACTGCTTTATCAGCTAAACCATTTAGTGCAAGTCTGCCACCCGCCAGACAGCTCCGGTAAGACAGCTTTCGAAAACAATTGATGGGGAAACATCCGGCAGTACTGAGTGAGAAAACCACGCGCCGGTTCGAAAGTAGTGACGTCACTCATCGATATTCCCCTGATGAAATTCTCCGAGAAGCTTGGAGGCAGCAGGACGAGCGACTCAGACGTCGTTCACATTGCAGAGAACTCGAAGGAGGGCGGCAAAGGTAAAGCCGATTACACAGAGGGCGCCAAACACGTTCTCAGCGTAATCCACGAGATCCTCGCCCAGCACCGTCAGCTGGAGAGCGCTTGGCACTCGAAAAAGCTCAAACTGCACCAAAGACTGGCCCTACGGCTGTTCCAGGAGGACGTCCGGCAGGTCCTGGACTGGCTCGAGAAACACGGTGAGGTGTTCCTCAGGAAGAACCCAGGTACCGGCCGGAACCTCGCTCGCGCCAGAGCTCTTCAGAAGTCCCATGAACACTTTGAGAATGTGGCGCAGGTGGGTCAAAATCTTCGATTACGCTTTCCTGCCGTTGCCGTCGCTCGGAGCAGAATCGAGGACCCTCAAGCATTCCCGGGTCCGAGTCAGAACTCGTCATGATTCCGCTTTGAATTGTTTCAGAATACGTACACGAACGCAGAGAAGCTGCTGTCGGCAGCGGAGGAGTTGGCTCAGACAGGCGAATGCAACGAAACCGAAATCTACTCTGTAGCGAGAGAACTGCAACAACAAATCGAGTCATTCGCGCAACGCGTGGAGCAGCGGCGGCACCTGCTGCAACTCGCCGTAATTTTCTTCACGCACGACAAGGAGCTTCAGGGGTGGTTTGAAGAACTGAGGCCGGACCTCGAGAGCGACAAGGTTGCCGATACGGTCGAAGCCGCCGAGGCGCTCCTGGCCCAGTTCACCCAGCACCGGGACACTACCCTCGAAGCCGTGCACTCCACGATAGGTCAGTAGGTACCGGCTTTGCCACATGGGGTGCCTCGATTTATGTTTGAGTCCAGTTCCGCATATCCTTCTGGTCAAAGCGAATTATTATTCCCCTCCCGATTCTCTGGAGCCGAATGGAAATTCTCAATTGCGACTGATTTCCACAGAGGAAGGCGAAGCCCTCGTCGAGGAGCTGCGGAACCTCGGAATGACATCGGAAAATGACTCTACGGGATCGTTCACGGCAGCCGAAACGACCCTGGAAAAGTTGCAGAGAACCAGAGCTGAAATGGAGGAATTGTGGGCGGCTCGCAAGCTCAAGTTGGACGTCTGTCTACAGTTGAGGTGAGTCAAAGGCTCATCGACTCATCGAGAGAATTTTTTTTTAACGTTTTCTCCTCTCTAAAGAAAAAAAAATCGATCTCTGCGCAGGTTATTCGAAAGGGATGCGTCTCACCTGACATCTCAAATGGAAGTGTGGTCTGAAGATCTCAAACACGCCGAGACCAGTAGTGTTCTAGAGAGAGCTGAGCAGCTGTCGCAGATGCACGCGGACAGCGTGCAGCATATAACGCAAACTACCTATCAGGTGATTCAGCGGGGCCAGGAATTGTCCGCCCTACTTGAATCTTCGGGTGTCGTAGTTGCGGCCGATACCCAGTCTGATGCTCGACAGCGATTGCAGTCGCTCCTGTCTTTCCTGCACGAGCGTAGAATGGGACTCGAAGACGTGGCTGAGAATCGCAAGTCCCGTCTAGAGATGGCTGTTCAAGTAGCCGCATTAGAGCGGGATTCCCAGCAGGTGCTCACCTGGATCCACCAGGGGGAATCGATGTTAGTTGCCACGTTCCAGATACCGACGTCGCTGAAAGAGGCCGAGCAGCTCGCCAGTCAGCACGAGCAGTTCACGCACGCTATCGAGAACACCCACGCCAGCGCCGTACACATCGGGCAGCGGGCGGAACAGCTGCTCAAGGCCGCCAGTCAGGCCGGAGCGGGTCCGGACCCCCAGGCCGACAAGGTGCAAGCGATCGCCGAGAAGGTCGACGCGAGATGGCATGCGATGATGGGTCACGCCGAGGACCGTCATCGCATGGTGAACGCGTCGCACCGCTTCTTCAAGACGGCCGAACACGTTTGTTCGGTGTTGGATACGCTGGAGAGAGAGTACAAGCGGGACGAGGATTTCTGCTTGGGAGCGAAGGACGCGTCTCAGGATAAAGATATCTATCTCTGTCACCTCCTCGCCAAGCACCAGGAAAGAAAAGAAAACTTTCTCAAGGCCTGCACCATGGCTCGCCGAAACGCCGAAACTTTCCTAAAGTACGCCGCCAGATGCCAACAGTACTATGGACACATGGCGAACTCTCCAACTCCCGAGACAAAAGTCAAGGCTCTGATGGATCAATTGATGAAGCAAGAGAACAATGTCTTGGAGCACTGGGGTGCTCGGAAGAAGAAAATAGAGCAATGCCATCAATTTTGTAAATTCGAAAGGAGCTCCATCCAGGCCATCAGCTGGATACAGGAAACCGGCGAAGAGTATCTCAACTCGCGCAAGGGCTCCACAGATTTCGAGAAGCTCCTACAAGGTTTGTACAGCGGTTGTCTCGGTAGAAGCAAACAGAAGGACTAGAATTGTCCTACCGTAATTTCAATAACCGTTTTATCGTTTACGTGACTTCTGAAAAAATCGGATGGTCTACGCCCACAGAACACAACGAGTTCACGAAGAACGCTCGCGGAACTGAGGAAAACGTCCGCAAGCTACTTCATCTTGCCGACAACTTGGTCGAGAGAGGTCATCCCCACGCGAGCTCCATCAAACACTGGGTCAATGCCGTCGATCATCGCTACAAGGACTTCTCGACGCGCATGACCAAGTACAAGTGAGTCTTGCCGCGGACTACAAGGCAGAGCTCCGATTCTCGAAGTTTCGAGTTCTCCGCTAAAGCTAGCATCGCTTGCCTGTCCATTGTCGAAGAAAAAATCGCTGACGGATCGATCACCCTGTCGTTGCAGAGAAAACATCAAATCCGCTTTGGGAACACCGGAAGACGGCGAATCTAACAAGACCGGGCTTTCATTGGATTCACGGAACTCCGACTCAAGCTTGGATTCGAAGCTTTCCCAGCCGGAACCCGTCACGAAAGAACTCACCGAAGAAAAGCGGAAAAGTGCGCGACGGAAAGAGTTCATCATGGCGGAGCTATTGCAGACGGAGAGAGCCTACGTGCAGGACCTGAAAGCCTGCATCGACACCTTCCTCAAGGTAGGGCATTCCGATCTGTTCCCCGAAGAATGGACGAGCAGACGCCAACAATAGGAATTTTCCGAATCCAGTCGAGTCCGGACTGGGGTCCAGGCTCGAACTCGAGTGCGTGATTCGAGCATCCCTCGTCTCCTTGCGGTGGAAGCCGGAACGAGGGGGAGAATTCTCATTCTGCGCGTATATTCTCGAAAATTCCGATGTCTCGAGTTCAACCGAGTCTGAGAAAGTGTCAGCGAAGTGCAAGCGTTTGAGCTAATTCGAGCTGCGCTTCGATTTTTCAGGAAACACGCGAACCAAATCCCTCAAAGCCTGAAGTCTTGAAGGGCAAGGAAGCCATTCTATTCGGAAACATCGAAGAGATCTGGGAATTCCACAACACAACATTCCTGAGAGAGTTGGAGAAATACGAGACGATACCGGAAGATGTGGGACATTGTTTTGTGACTTGGGCAGCGAAATTCGACATCTACGTGAAGTACTGTAAAAACAAACCGGATTCGAACCAGATACTTATCCATTGCCCAGCCGGTTTCTTCGAAGAAGTTCAAAAACGGTAAGCGTCGATGATAGAGTCGACCTCTGGCGCGGAAGCAGACGCTGGAGAAGCCAGCCGTCAAATTCCGCTGGAGGTCTGAGGACATCATTCAGCCCGAGGATTCGACGTATCTACATGAGCAGCCGATGAGATTTTTTCTTTCCTGCGTTTCCAGACATTCGATACCCCACCCGCTCCAAGCGTATCTCATCAAGCCGGTTCAGAGGATCACCAAATATCAATTACTCCTCAAAGATCTGCTCTCTTGCTGCGAAAGTGACGAACAAGGTGAAATAAAGGACGGCCTTGAGGTCATGCTCAGTGTCCCACGGAAAGCAAACGACGCGATGCATTTATCCCTACTCGAAGGCTGCGACGTGAGTTGAAATCAATCGTGATCGTTCAAGTCATCGATTCAGGTCCCAGATCAAGAACTCATCCCTCTATTCCCCTTTTCAGCTGAGCTTCGATCAACTCGGAGACGTTATCCTCCAGGACGGCTTCGTGGTTTTCGATCACCGAGCCCTAATACGCAAGGGTCGTGAGCGGCACGTGTTCCTATTCGAATTGTATCTGCTTTTCGCCAAAGAAATCAAGGACGGCCAAAATAAGGTTCGCTATCAATACAAGAGCAAACTGATGACATCCGAGATCGGTATCTCCGAGCACATCGAGGGAGGAGACGAGAACAAGTTCGCCGTATGGAGTGGACCGCAGGTCAACGAGAACCGAATCATTCTCAAAGCGTCTTCGTTGGAAGTGAAACAACAATGGGTGAAAAAATTACGTCAAGTCATCCAGGAGACTTGCTTCAACTCTGCCATCTTCAATCCGCACACGGCGAGACTCGTGGCGGCGGCGACTGCGACAGCCACCGCGGCATCGTCGAGACCGAGGTTCCATCCCCATCGGTCGAGCAGGTGGGAATCTTCAAACGAATCGAAAGCGCACCTCGTCCTCCTGTGGAGGGATGGAGAACTGCTCTACGAAGGAGCGCCGAACATTTGCAGGGACATGGAGACGGAGAGCACGAACTCATCGACACCTTCATCGAACCTCACCCACCTAGACACCGGAATTCATCGCGAAGAGACGGGCAGCATCAACTCTTTCGGCTCTGAGAACACGAATACCGACTCCGAGAAGGTGAGTTTTTCTAGCCTGCTTGGTGTTAGCCTTAGTCTCCCGATCCACAGGAATTTCCAGCATCAGCGGCCGCGTATTGAAATAAAAAAGGACGCTTTCGAATTACGCCGCGTTTTATTAACCGGCGCATGCGCTGATGGTTCCCGACGGATTTGATGGCGCGGCTCGCTGGTAGTTCTTCGCCTTCGGCTCACCACTCGGACGGCTTCACGGACAGCTGCTGCGCCGACGGCGACTCCGTGAAACAGCTGATCCAGAGTCTCAGCTGATGGCTCGGAGCGGTTTGGCTCGAAAGCTTGTTATAGAACGACGGCGCCAAAGCTCGGGGAAACCTGGTGGGAGTTCTCTGGATCGGCGTTTATTGGAATTCGAGAAATTTATTCGTGAAGCGGAGAGCTGTCCGGAAACCTTCCCGCGTCCTTCAGCGTGCGTTTAAATACGCGAACGCTATCACGTTGTGTCACTGGTGGTCCGTCCTCTATAGCCAATCACCGTGTACGGCAGCAGATTTATATATTCAGTATAAATAGCGTAAGAGCCAGTTCGTTGTGTACGTTCGAAGGAACCTACGACCCCATAGAGATCTTGTTGACCACCATTTTTTTCTTCATGAGCTCGGTCCCTTTTGCCTGATCCCTGTATCCCCATAGAATCTACCGGATCCTGAATCTCGAAGATTGCTCCGAGATCTCGCCTTCGAGCTCGCATCGGAGGAAAACGGTTCTGATACGACTAGCGATAGACCGCAGGGATTCAAGCAAGGACTGAAAGCCTCAGACACGAGCGTCCTCCTGAAAGTCGAGAATTATTGTTTATGGAAGGCCGAGAATGATGATGGCGACCAGACGGTCACATTATTTTGCACTGATTCAGGTCGAACCCCTCTCGTTCATTTTCGATCTCTCGCAGAACGATCCATCATGATCCCCAACGTGAAGTCCGCGGTCGATTTCTTCCATACGATCGGGGAGATGAATTCTCAACCTGTCGGCTGGGTTCTGGCCACAGAAGCTAATCCGACAGAATGGAAAAGAGGAACCACACCCGACCGAGGTGTCATTCCTAATTCTCGAGATCTGTTGGCGCTGCGCGTCGAACGACGACGACCGACGGGTGCAGCAGGGAATCCAGAGCAGGCGATAGAATCCAGGAACGCCCAAACTCTCTCATAGTTCAGGGGTTGTGTACATTGTGTCATTGTGTCATCGGCAAACAATGGACTCTCTCCTCCGTAGACTCGTCAAAGCGATGATGAGCTCCTCGTGGGATTTGCTGATTGCCTCCAAGCCGGAAAGAGACTTCTCCCCGGTGAATGGATGACAATTATGGCTCGGCGAGGACGTTTTTGTGGCGAGTGGCGCCTAATATTCTTCCTGCTGCGACCTGGATACCGACTCGTTGTCCGTCCGTTCGGTCGGTCGCCTGTCCGTCCGTCAGCGAGCTCGCCCGCTCGATGTCCTGCGAGCCTACTGTTCTCCCGCAAACTTCACAGCCGCCCAATTTTATCTCTGTCGCTCGAGCCGTTTGCACCTGCCTAAGAACTGAGCTAGCTCCGGAGCCCTTTCCGACCGAAGTCGTCCCTCTCCCAAGGTCCTCGAGCCCTAGCCTGGCCACTGCGATTTGGGCCAGTGGCGGGCAAGCCTCGGTGAAATACCTGCTAGATAGCGACGAGTTTGTGCCGAGTGGGATTCGCTTCGTCCGGGCCGAGGGTGCCTCGATCGACGTTGTGCAGCGTGAATTGCTCGGTGTTCCTCGTCCTGGAGCGTGTCCCATTCATCGATCAACCCGCTTCGCAACTCCGATCGGTTCTCGGAGGGCTCGGGAATTTGTTCTCTTTGCGATTGGATTTCTTCAACGAGACATAAAACAGTGCCTTGGTCGACGATATTTCGACAGGAGCGTCCGTGTTTTAGTGATGAGTGAAAGACTTTGAGAAGATGTCGATCAAGGAGCGAATGGCACCGAGGAATTGGTTTCGAAGTTTAAGTTACTCCGGCCTGAGTTCTGATCGGAGTACACGGGGAGAAGTTGCTTCGGACTCGAGCTCCAGCGTCGTTCTCAAAGGCGTCCACAAATTCCACTCGCTTCAGGTCAGCTCTTGACGGGTTTTTACCTAGATTAGGTTTCCGGATTGCTTTTGTTGGAAGGAGCGAGGGTCTTCTCGCCCGCGGTCAGAGGGAATCCCTTGCAGCCTGGCTGCTCTCCGTCTGTGAATTTTTTCTTCTTCTATGTTCTTGCCGGTGAACATCCCAGAGATTCCGTCGCCTGTGGGCACTGGGGGCCATCGAGTTTCAGTCGAGCACGAGCGCGCTTCCTTCTAGTATTCGAGCGAGATAATCGACCTTGCGCGAAAGTCGCACAGAAAAAGAGACTCGCCAGTGATTTTGTAAGTTCGTCATGTCTAACACAGGAACTTGTGTCATATCCCGCCCTTTGTGAGTCCGCAGCGGCGCTGGCGGTGTTGGCTGTCGGCGGCTCGGCGGTGGCGGTCGGCTTCGTGTTAACATAAATAAATACGAGACCGAGAAGCCTTTGAATGATTAGGTGCGGTAGCAAGCCTCCCGCTGCTAACGATATTCTCATGAGGGCGGACTGCACTTGTTCTACGTCGACTTTGACGACGACAACAAGACCGACAACAGCGGTCGGCGAGAAAAACGTCGGAGTCGACAAGGCTTCTCACATGGTTTTCCCCAGCCGGCCGCTCGAGTTCCCTGTCTGAACTCTCTTGTTTTCCTTGTTCGCTGCGTCGACACTACCCGTTTTAACTGACTGTATGAGTTGCGCCCCTCCGGTTCTCGGTTCGATTGTGATTGGATCCGAATGTGAGGCCGAAAGGTTCTCTCGATTGTACGCAGTGTTCCGTTGAATCCGTCTCCGTTGCCTAATATTAGGATTAGGACTCTGTCCCGACCCCTGTCTAGAACTCGCAACGTCCGCCCGTCCGGCGGTTTGGCCGGTTCTCGCTCGGGTCACGCGGCATCGCGTGATCCCCTCCAAGAGCTCCGACCACCGACCTAATCGCCGTAATACGGAAGCTGCCGAGGTCACAACGAGGGGTAGACGTCAACTTTGCGTCGTTCGAGAATAATCCGCGCGAGGCGGAGGGGAACCTCTTCATTGGGCCACGAGCCTCATTTCGCGCGACTTCCACCTGGAAAATTCTTTATGATCCGGTACTGCGGCAGTTTCTCTCGGATATCGAAAGTCAACGGAATGTCCGTCGACCGGACCTCCTGAGTTTCGCATTCCGTGCTGGGATGCGTTCTGCATGCGCTTGCATACATCGTTCTGAGTGGATTTTGTTCAGGCAGAACAGACAGGATCCAGCGCTGCAGGAAACCGCGACTTGATCGCCTGGCAGATCGATAGGCCCAAATATAGGCGATGGAGCAGACGGATGGACTTTTCTGAGAGGAGCCGTGCAACCCGACAGCCGGGCTGAGCTCGAAAGAGCGCTCGATCCTCGGTGCAGCTCGATGCTCAATGGACCGCGACGCTGTATTCCCTCAGATGGGTTTCTAGGGAAAAATCGAACTATCGTGATCACTCGTACACGATCGAGGAATCCGCCGCGCCGTAGCTCGCCACAGACCTTAATTCCGGAACGTGCGCAGACTGGCCATAACATGCTCGGAACCTGTTGGCACACAAGTGAAATGGTCACGCGAATTTCTCCGCGTGCGGCATTCCTGCGGAGTTTACCAATAACGGAGACTCAAGCGGTGGAGCCTCGGGCTTCGGCTGCGATTGGAGGCGATGAATCTGAGAAAACCACTCCCAGTTCGTGCCATCGGGAATTAGCCAGAAGTTAGCTCAGTGATTCTGATGAGACTGCCAAACGAGCTCTAATTTTAGAAGTTGCTAGCCGTCTAAGTCTAAGACATTGGTCAAAGCCCCGAGACCGCGAGCGTCACGTGCTCGGCGTGCCATAGCTTCCAGATGAGAGGGACGCTTTGGCTGATTGCGGCGCAGCCTTGAGTCGAGCCTCAATGATTCGGCTACTGACAGAATAGCGTGTGCTTAGTGCATTCATAACGACGGCAGCGACATCAATAAGGACAACGTCAACAACAACAAAGACCCAGTATATATGTATGTATATGGCGCATCGCAGTCATTCGGTTGTTCCTTCCTCTATGATGGGACGGGAGACCCGCTCGTTGATATATCGTCTGACCGTATATCGGATGTCTCTGTCCGGGGGCCTTCCTCTTTCGGAGCCAGGAATTTCACTGAAATCTCGATCTCGGCCGACAACGAGAACAGAAACTTCGTTACGATGGTCAGAGCATTTTCTCGAGCGCCGCCCCGCTATTCGATTCGAAACTCAAGTTGCCGCCGGCAACGAAGAAGAAGGCTTTGCCGCGCGAGCGGGACAGCGTGCGGAAGAAGTGGACTCGGCTGCCGGCTAGTTCAAGCAGCGTGTGGAAGTCATAATAACAATATTGAGATACCTGCGGCTCCAACGACAGCTCTGGCGCCACTCTTCTTAGCCAAATTGCCCGTTGCATGCGGCTATCGTCTGAACGATGGAGTATGAAATGGTCCAAAAGACTCGTGGCGACGACACCGATCCCCTGCGGCCGATGTACCGTCGCGTCGCTTTAAAGTTGCCAGTTTACTTTGGTGACGCTGCCAAAAATAAGACTCCGTGTTAGCCAAGTGCATTGACAGCACCTCGATGCATAGCTTCGGATGATTCAGGAGTTTGACGGAATCGCAGCGCAACCCTTCGCGAAACCCGAGTTTTCGTTTGGAAGGAAACGGGTGTTCGTTATCAGCACGAGAACATTCTCCGTACTCAGAATCCCAGAAAAAGAAATCCGTTGTTCTCGAGAGATCGGGGCTCTAGCTTGCGTCCGATCCCTCCAGTCTTACCCCGGGCCGACGATCGATCCCGGCAGCGACTGAACCTCAGATTGAGCAGAGGGGGCAACTTCACGCAAAAAAAAAACAAAAAGTCCTAATGAACGTCTCAGACAGTGTTTGGCCCAGATGCGCCTCTAAGTAAGCGGCAGAAGCGCCCATGTATCTTCGCAGCCTTCAAAACTCGGGTCGGTTTGAGAATCTCTGAGACATCGCTTATTACATTTGTGTAGAAAAAGGACGGCCGTGGCCTGCTAGGAATTTGAAGTGCCCCTCTCGTAAAGTGAAAATACGGAATACGTGTCCGGAGTAACGTCGTCGCTGTTCGCCACACGCTGCGTGGCATGTAATAGTTTCCCCGTAGCTTGTGTGGTTTGCTCCGGTAGTTCGGAGCGCCGGGTTCGCGGTGGCGATCAAACTAGCTTCACTAGGAAAGTTTCATCACTCGAGCCAGTGGCTGAACGATCGACGAATGTGCGTTTGACTGCGAACTCAACGAAGAGGACGGGAGTGCTCAAGCACCGCGGTGGAACGATATTATTGGGTTAGAGGGCCCCGCGCGGGCTCCGTGGAGTTATAAATGGTCGGGAGCGATGATGTCAGCACCTCGCGGAACCCACCGAGCAACATGCGCTCCTGATTCCGATCGGACTCGATCTCGCAGAGCTCACTCGAGTCGACAGCGCTGCATCCGAGAATCAGCGAGGAACCGAGTTTCGTTGCGAGAACGTCAAGAGCACGTTCGAACTCTAAGTACGTACTGTCGCACGGAGCGGAAGTTCGCTGTCCGGCCGAAGTGAGTCAAGTCGCTTGTCGGAGCTCCGGCGGCTCGTTTCCTACCGAAGGCTTGAAGGGTAACACGAATCGAGATATCGATTCAAATCTATTCGGAACCCTTATACAATCGAGCCCTTGTCGGCATTTCGATGATGAAAGAGAATGCAGAGGCTGTTCTCTAAGACTGTCCGGCGTGCTGTCGGTCTGTTGCGCTCGCTTGTGAGATGGTGACCTTGCATCGCTGCTGGTGACAACGGTGGCGCAGGCGACGACGACAGCGTTTCCAGGGTCTACTACGAGCCCGGCTTTGTGAACGAACGCGCGGAGAGAAGGCAGACCTTGTACATAGGTTGAACATCGAAGGAAGATCAAGAAAAAGAACAAGAAGAGTCGACTTCTCCCTGTCGGCAGAGATTCTTATATAACGGCAATCGAGCTAGCTCTGACTGTCTGACTGAAAGGACATCACGAGTACACGGGGTCTTTGAGCGTAGAACTGCGCTTGACTTTTTTTTCACTCTGGAGACATCTCCCTTATTCTGGTACGTGTTCCCTGCATCGAAGGAGGACTCGAGCCGAGAGTTGTTTCTCAATCCAGCAGCAGAGCCGTCGGCCCGTCTGTATAATGTAGTGCGTTAGAGAATTTGTGCATTTCTACATCACGGCCGAGCTTAACAAAAATACCAAAGTTTGCTCTTGCTAGAAATCTCAGCTCGGACGTCGGAAGAGTCAGCAAAATACCTTCCTTAGCGGAAGGCTTTGCTGCGCGTCACATTCCCCGATGTTCGGAGCAGAGAAGCGAAGGGGGCTGGCTGGAGGTTTTCCAGATCCTCCGCTGTCGATCTGAGAGGATAGCCTATGATGGGAAATGGGAAACTTCGGACGGCTCGTCGCTCTCTGGAAAATTGAGCGGCTTCTCGCCGTCTACGTAATACCTAGGTACTTGGCCAGGGTTTCCGATCACGATCTGCTTCACTCTCTGATTTCCTGTCATCATCGTTATCGTTTTTACTGTCGTCGTTCCCCGGACGGGAATGGAGAAGAGCATAAAATGCTCGCTTCTAGCCCAGTCACTCACTCACACAGATAATTCTTGGGTAAATGACGACGCCGGGCTGGAGAGTAAGTCGCTTCGACCGCGGCCTCAGCAGTCAGATTCAAAGGCAGACAGTCGGCTGGTCGGTCTTGCTATTTGCTAAATGTAGTCGGCCACTGCTCGAAAGTGGACGAGCCGCCGGATGACATTGAACGTATGAGGGTGGGTCACCACTCTGATGGCAACAACAACGACGACAAGGACGACAGCGATGATTCTCGGCTGGTACCTATTCACGCAGGCGAACGGTGGAACGGGGAGCTGAGAGTCACTCCGGATGGGGTAGTAGGAGAAGACGAGCAGCAGCAGGAGAGGAGATTATGGATTACGGGCAGCCCGTCGAAGGAATGGCGATCGCGTGCCCGGCACGTAACGGCCTCGGGACGGCCCAGAATTTCATTCACCGTGAATGGAAGAGAAACTGTGGTGTCTAATATGATTTTCTTCTGTTTCGATTTCCAGGGTGGAGAGAATGAAGACGTCACCCCAACGGGCGAATACCCACCCGGCGATTTTCCCGGTGAGTAAAAGAGTACAACCCACAATCGTGAAACGTGATACCGTGAATGAAAACATGCTCGATGTGTCTCGGCTCAGAAACTCGGAGTCTCCGGAGCGGCCGAAACGTCGCTCGTCGATTCGTCCGCCGTGTTTCGTCTCCGTGTTGCTCGTTGCGAAAATATTTCCCGGCTATAGATAGACGAAGGAAGCAAAGTTCGGCATGCGAGCATCTCTGACCGACTGCCCGCCCGCTCGCTAGGCTGTTTGGTCACTTCCTTTGAAGATGGACTCTAATAGCTTTCGATTCCGCGTGTCTGGGGCCGGCGGCTACAAAAGTGTGCTCGTTGCGCGTGAGTCTGCCTATGATGCGTAGTAATCCGTTCGGTGCGCATATGCAGACTGAGGCTACAAATATAGAGCTGCGAACAGCCCGACGGCGAGCAGAAGTCTCAGCGTTAAACGCCGCATCCGCGATGCACGACAGCTCCATGGTCGAAATAGAGCACGCCAAGCGTTCTACGTGCTCCAGGGGCGGATCGGCAGTAGCGCAACAAGTCACTGGGTGAGCGAGTGATGGCACTCATGGGGAGGGGCCCGAACCGTGCCCACTGACGCTGCTGAAGCAACACGTTGTATACCGTTCACTCGCTAACGAAGGTTGTGTCGAGTGGAAACGCGGGATGCCGAGAATACCTTCCCGCTCGATTTACGTTCACAAAATCGTTATGGATATCGTAAACGAATTTCATTCCCGAATCGGAGAACGCATCGATCTCGGAAGGCCCTGACGGCTCTTGAATGTTGAGAAAAAAAACGTGACCTCTTTCCAAAAATGTAGTCCATCGCGAAGTGTTGTCGTTGATCGGCATGATTGTCGTCGTCTATGCCGTCATTCCGATTTCGCGGCGTTGGCGAGAAGCTTTACAAGCGCTCTGGAATTTCTGCCCGTCTTCTCCCCTTCGCTCGCCGAACCGGCTTCCGGGATATTTCCCGAAACTCTCGCGTTGGCGTCGAATCAAGTGACCGACCCACCGGCGGCAGAGGCAGCCCCGGTGTCGATGCCGGCTGCGACACGTCTACTCCGTGAGTCACCGAATGAACGTGCTCGACGTACTCGGAACCGGACCACGAGCGAAGCTCTCTCGCCAGCAAGCTGGACAGGCCGCCGTCTGACTCAATAGCTGGCAAGACTGCCGGGAAAACTAACCCTTTCCGGCGTAAGTCCACTCTTCTCTCACGCGCCGTCGAAGACTCCTTTCCGTCCAAGTCTTCGTATTCGGACGGCCGCGAGCGGATTCACTTGACAAACGAAGTGCGCGCGAGATCGAGTTGGTCGAGGGTCGAATTCGACCGGTCGTACCGGAAGGACGTTCTAATAATTTTCATCCGAGTGCTTGAGCCGACCGGATTCGTTGATACAGTATTGTATCGCTCGCGTGCAGTTCTCTGTTTATTTCTCTCGGTGGACTTCAATCACATCGAAAAAGGAATGAGGTGGTGGTTCTTCTCGAATCATTCGAAGTCATTCGATGTAGTCTGCATTACAGGTGGGACCAGATTTTAGAGTCGTTTCCATGGCGGTCTGTTCTTTTTCTTGAGGAGCCCCATCGAGGACGGACCATGGAATCAATGTGTTGATCCGTTCGACGTAAAAACGTGATTTCTCGGGATTTTCGATCGCGGGGCATCCAATCTGTCGATTTCATCTACCTAGTCTAAAAAATGTTTCGTACTTGAATATTTTTTCCACCTCCTTTCTCGGAGCAATGCCTACTAGGTCGATTCTCTAATGCGGAAGTCCCTCGAGGAAAGCTTTGGGGAGCTCCGTGCGGTACGACGACTCGTTCCGTGGAAAATGAGCCGGTGAAACTGTCGCAGTCAAACTGAATCGCTATCGGAGACCACGACGAAATTCCGTCAGTAAGCCGACAATTATTGCTACGTAATGAGTCGAGCGCCGCACTGAGCCAGCTTCCGTTCGCCGAGGCTCTTCGAGAATCGCAAAGCTACTTGTTTGCTAATTATTCGCTGTCCCGACGTGATAGGCGTCCCAGATAAAAAACGAAGCACGGCGGATCGGGGAACAAACCAATGATTCCGAATTGTCCGAAGCTTCCCGTCGATGTCGTGATTCCGGACGTGGCGGCGGCTGTGATCAATTGCATCGAACACTTTGATGCTCTACTATGTACACCTCGCTCGGTCGAAGTCGGTCCTCCAGAATTTTAGAACATCGATCCACTTTAGCCACGAATCCATGGTTTATGCTCAGGGATGAATTGTATTGACAACAAGGATCTCTTCAAAGTCACTCGAATTCAGTCGTCGCGGTAATGCTAATATTTCGGGAAAAACTCCGCAGAGGAGTCTATGAGTTCTCGGAACCCCTAGAAAAATTGTTATGGCTTGCTGAATGAAGTCACGATCCAGACAGAATTCCCCCGGTCACTTAGGACTGTTTCAAAGCTCTCGGTACCGTCAAGCCGTTGGCCATTGGTGAAGTGTCCGTCCGGACGAAGATCCATCTCTACAATAAATATAATTATAATATTCTTCTATTCAGATGTTACCAGTCCGACTGGAAGCGGAGGCCACCTGGCACATCCATCGACCACGTCGCCCGGTAGCAAACGCAGGGGAACATTCCGGTAAGTTTCATTTGAGTTTCTTCATTCTAAGCTCCATCGAAGACTTTTCGGAGGGAAGTTTCATCTACGTATCTACCGGGTCATTACTCGCTTGCTCCGGGGTCGAGAGGATTGCAAGCGGGACGACCTCCCCAGCCAAGTGTTAATCGTGATCGCGGTGCCGGAATTCACCGGGGCGGCTCAGCCTGAGCTTCAGGGGAGGGGGATGGGTGGCGGAGAAATTCTCCCTCGTTTCTATTTTCTTTCCCTCTATGGAATTCGTCTCGTTCCATGAGGGGAAGATTCCGAATACCGAGGAGCGTACCAGAGGCTGTGAGGTTATTCCGACGCAGACGCGCTTCCGCGAATTGTTCGGTTCATTTCCCTCATCAATAACGCGGCTTGGTGCTTTATCACAGAATTCGTTCGGAAACCGGCTGCCGCGCCGTGAGAATTCGGTCTGCCTCCTCCATAAGCCCCAACGATATCGAGAATCCACGGTCTCGCGAGGTTCTCCGGGATGCTGCATTGATATGGCCGTCGTTTCTCGGGGATCGAGAGCAGTAATTCCCGAAACGTTTTCTTGAACTGATTGCTCTTCTCAGAGCTCGCATCCATTCCTGCAAATCTGCTCGGGCAGATTGGCGGTGATGGAATCTGATCGGAATCCTATCGGAGCGAAGAGCTCCGTACGCGCCACAAGGACAGAGATTCTTCCATGAGCGCGGTCGCGTGATCAATCGGGTAAACACCGGATCGCGATTCCATCTGTCCGCCTCCACATCTGTAAATATGGCTGTCGAGTGGAATGTCGCTTGTGTAAACTTGGGAAGCGAACGCCTCCTGGCCCTATTCCCACCGAGATCGCTTTCTGAAAAGAAGGAAAAGGAACAAGAAGGACTACAGGAGTGACCGCAGGCTTTCTCCAGTCAGAATCGATCGCGTGTTCGCGCGGCCACAATATTTTCCGAAGCTCCACGCGCTGCCTGTCGGACTGAATGATGACCTTCAGTCGAAGGAATGCGCTATTTTGGAAACACAATCTGAATTTATTCTTTCATCATTACGGGAAGTCGGTGTTGACAAATTACGATGGGAAACAATATTATCTCAGTATTCGCGCGAGTTTCGATGACTCGACCAGCGGTGTGCTCGAAACTCGGCGCCGCAACCGCATGTCGCAGATGATCACATATATATGCTCGCGTTTCGCCGCATACTCCATCCAGGTGATCTCGAGAAGCCTTGATCATGTGTCCGATCAATTACGATTCCACTTGCCGACGATCATTCTGCCGACAGCCTCCACCATCGCCAGCGGCAGGACAATAAACTTGAAGGGGACCTGGACGGCCTCGCTGAACGATATAACGGTCTGATAGGACTCTAACGCCGCGTTCCGACTCGGCGAGAGCATTTGTTGACATTTCGTCACGAGAATCAACGGTACCTGAGCGATTCGCAAGGGTAGAGCTATACATTTTGACACAACCTCGGCCAGTCTCAGCTGGGCTTCGAATATTCGCAAGGGTAGCTGAAGTAGTAACACAAAACCACTGAGCAAGGTTCTGTTGAATCTGACGAAGGCGTTGATCCTCTCCGGGAACGAGGCTTGTCTCTGCATTCTGGAACTGACTGAGCGTTGTAGGGAACGCGTCGTCTTGGAAGTCCGAAGTCGAACAGGCAGCCAGACGGTCGCAGGCTCAGAACGGCGTATAGGCAAACGCACTACAGTACGGACAAGTCAACAATCATCTTACGGGCGCACGCACGGTCACTGCTCGGAGATATTCGTGGATTCGGAATAAATTCGTCACCGTGATGTTCAGATCATTTGGGATCCCGTCGATCTCCGCACCGAGTCGCTCCGTTGTTGTTCCCGCTCGACGCCTACTTCTACGTCGGAGACACGGCAACGACGGCCCTACGATGCAGGAGAGCTGTCTGCTCGAATGTCAAACGCTGGGTTGTTTTGGTAGCAGCAGCGGTGGCGGCAGCGGCGAATGTTTTCCCTTTCGCTCGAGGGTTGCGCGCGCAAGCCGTTGCGGCGGCTGTCTTCCACCTTCGCTCGCACTGAACGTGCCGTCATCAATTTTTTTCCCCTCGTCCCGAAGGAAGAGGCTCCGACGACGGCCATTTTGACTTCAGCGCAGTGTGTTGAGCGTGCTCGGCGTTCCTGCCAATTGGCGAACTCGTTCAACAGAGAGCCCACTCCGACTCGAGCGTAAGGGCACACGGCCCGTAGCAGCTGCCCTGTCCTAGGAGCCTGAATGGCAGGGCCGTACGCGCAAGGAATGACGTTTTGAACTCGGCACCGCGCACCTCGTAGGCTAGCTGCAGGCACAACGAGAAAACCGGCCCACCGAATATTTACTTGTTACAACTACTTCTGCGGAAGACGACGGAAGTCTTCGCCGCGCGAGTCCACTCGTGAGCTTCGCTTCTGCATCTCTCTCGAAACCGGGGCATCGACGGTCTTCCTCGCGAGACCGTTATCCAAGCTGAACTCTGGTGGATTCGGTGCTCGCTACTCGCCTCAACCTGTTTTCCAGGGTCAGATCGGGGTAAGTCTATTCAGCACAACTGTTGACATGAGTCGTTGTCATGAGGTCGCGAGCTGCCCGTGACGGCTCCGCATCGTGACGACCGCCACAGGTGGCAACGAGCGAACTCAAAGGTCGACTTCGTGAGCGACGGCGGCTCCAATGCCGGGGGAGTGGGGAGTCGAAGTCGAGCGGACGACTCCCCATCGATTTCCCCTCGGACCGCTCCGAGATTTCCGTCTCTAGGGACTGACGTGACTTCGACGTCGACCGATATCTGAGCAGTCGAAGTGACACATTCCGGGGGGATGCGTGCACATCCGCCTCCACGCGAGTGTAGATCACTAACTAAGTGTGAAGCTCGTCCCCATGAGGTTGGCCGATCGATTCGAGCTGCGCGTTGTCGGGACGCTAAAGTGGTATCTACGTACCGACTCTGTGAGTGTCTTCCGGAGAGAACGCGCGCGCGCGCGTCGCTGAAGCTTCATTCGCTCGCTGATCCTCCTCTCTGTCGAGCTGAAAGAGTTCGCTGACGACTAGGCTATCGTTTTCGAGGCCATTTTCATTACAAGCCTACTGAACGCGAACCAGTTAAACTGGACGCCCGTCTGTTCTTTTCCACAAACGGTCCACCGACCGTCCGGCAACGATTTCCGTGTATTTGGATTATTACTCAAGTGGCAGTGCTGTGCTTTCCGTTCGCGGCGATTTCCGAGATCGATTCTAGAGGAACGACGTCTCCGCCATTCTTCTCGTCATCGTTATTGTTACCGCGGCGACGGCTGTTCGGAGATATTGTCGGTAGCTTTCCTTTTGATTCTCCGAATTGAATGGGGGCATCCAGATTAGAAGCACCCCACAAAGCAATGAGTCGCTGGAAAAGCTTCAGGTTTGTTGTTGCATCGCTTTCGCGCCTCGCTGCTCGTTGGGTTTCGGAGCGCTATTCAATATCTCTCTCGACTCGGCATTCGATGCGGAAGGAAGTCGCTTCTTCAGAGAAAGGAGATTTTCATTTTCCGACTCGTAGCTCGCAACTAGAGGCCAATAAGCCCGTGGAAATCCGTCGGATTCGATTCGATTGATCGACTTCGTGGAGAGGCTCTCCAGGCCGGATGTCCGAGCCGGCGGATTTTCGCAACCGAGCGACGTCTAGGAGGCGTCGACGGTGGTCTGGATTGTTTGATTGCTCAGGTAGCCCGTGCTTGCGAACGGGAGCCAAGGGCGGAGTATCGTTGTCCGTCGTATCCGATGACTTTGCCGGCTGCACTCGCATTGACGTGCTCATAAACATTGATGACCGCTCAGACTTCGATTACGGCTCTGAGTGAGTGAGTGAGAGACTCTGGGGTCCCGGCGAGTTACTTCGGATAACTGACAAGTGTCCACCGCTCCGAGTTGTCCTTCCTCCGTATCCATTCGATTTCGGAGCGGAGTGAATCAAGCATTGCGGGACAGAGGGCGAAAACCTGTTGACAGTCGGTAACTCACGGACAAAGTGGAAGTACGTCTGTTTTGCCTGGCGCGGTCGTCATTGCTGCGGTGAGAGCTCGCAGTTCGACCCTGACCGAGACGCCCACTCCTGAAGTCTATGGAAGCCGAAAGGAAGAGAATAATGCTGAGAGCCTGAATCTCCGAATATTCCGCGGAATGGAGATGACCAAGTATTCGGCCATCCCGGACCGGACACTTCGAGCGCGATATATCGTAAATATTTAGCTTATGAATCGCTCAACAACGAGTCGTCGAGCTCATGATTCTGTTCCATGTTGATGTCGGCACGGTGAAACGTAATCACACGCTGTCTCATGACGACGCCGTTCCAGCCTCGAGTCGCCCTCCTGCATCCGAATGTCTCCCCAATCGGGAATGCAGGCCACAGAACGTTTTCTTTTCTCTCTCTGATTTTTTCCGTCGACATGCATTATCACGCCAAGAACCCGATACGGCTCCTGACGCTATGTTTCTCCCTCTGTTGCAGGAAGTGGCTTACGAACCCGGTTCGGAAGCTCAGCCATGGCCGACTCGACAAGGGCCTGGACGAGAAATCTTCGTCAAACTCCGGCGTTCAGGCGAAACCTCCGAGTGGTCACAGTTCGACGCCCCAGAGCACGAATAAGGCAGCCAGCCAGCAGAATAACAAATCTCTCACACAGGCAAAGGTAAGCAAGAACTCTTTGCTCGTCAGGGTATCATGCCAGGAGGACGCACCGGGGTATCGACGGTACGGAGGAAAAGTCACACTCGAACAAGCGCGCCGACCCACCTACCCACCCACACCTCACGTACGCTCTCATACAACGTGCCGCAGACGTGAATATGAATACGAGAACATTCGTGCGCATTCACCTGAAAAAAGAAACTGCGAGGCATATGCGCGTACACACAGCGTCGAAACATACGTACACTGAGATAGAACCGGAAGATCGAAGCTTGTCGAGCGACCTTGTTATCGACACTGACGCCCACATTCATTGGAGAACGTTTGTAGTTTTCCACAAGCAGGGCGACGCTGACACTACTCCGTCACTAACCTGTTTCGCGCAAGCGACATCGGACCTTGACAAATCGTCTCATGGATCATTAAAAACGCACTCTTCTGTTGTTGTCCTCCGCTTGCTGAGTGAATTTCCGCGTGTGAGCGCCCGTCTCGCGAACTCCGTCGACAAATGAGTTCCGCTTTCGCCATTAGATTGTTGACGCCGCGCGCCGGCGGGGTGTCGCCGACCTCCCGATCCTCCCTCAGGTTTCGAGGGTTGGGACAATCGAGCTCGGGAAATGTCAAGAGGAGTCTCAGAAGCAACAGCTCGCGGGCTGTTGTCGACATTCCCGAGTATCGCTGAAATAATTCATGAAAACTCTTTCTGATTGTGCCGTCGTCGAGTCGTGGTGGACTGTTGACGCATGGTTGTCGATCTTGTTGACGTCTTTTCGCTGCCAATGTCGTTTCGATTGTTTCTCACAGCGGAAGGTTAGAGGAGTGTCGCTTCAGCTGTTGACGCAACTCCCGGCGTGTTCTCTTCAGCTTCATTTATTTCGGCAGAGATAGTGATTCGTGTCAGGGAGTTCTTCCCGTCTTGAACCCTAGCCGCGGAATTTTCAACTCTGCCAGCTAGTGTAATTTTTCGGCGCTGGAAATTCATTGCACGAACCGGATGGCCCTCGACGATGGCTCTCTCGCCGGCTCCGATGCAGCACGTTGTTGAGGCGTGCAACTCACTCAGGACTCCCGAGCGAGAACGTCCGCTCGCGGCGGGATGCAGTCCGAGCAGCGAGTTTTCCGCTTGATGAAAAGAATGGAATCATAGACTTAGGAGAAACTCATCACGATCACATTCTTAGGCCCTGAAGATTATTCTCTCCTCCTAAAGAATTAAGATTAAGCATCATGCGTTCTAATGCTCCGCCTTCTCCAGGTTCTGAGTACGAAAGATGAAATGGGCGGCCACAACGAAGAGGAAGATTCGGGTCTCGTGGTCGAATTACCGCCACCTATGGTGTTGCAAGAGCACCAATTCAAACAATTGGATGCTGGCGGTATTATGGCAAACAATTCCACCGTAAGTATCCGGTCACGCAGACCGAACATCAAAGATCAATCTCGGACGAGACTCCCGCGCGATTCCGATTTCGAATCCTCGATCAATACGCGATCTCGAGGTCTCGACCTCACGCCCGAACCCTTTCCTTACAGGACTGTGATACGTCCACCTCAGCCCTAGCGACAGAGCTCGAACACATCGTAAAAATTGACAACTTGCCGGAAGAAGAGCGAAATGAAATTAAAACCTACCTCGAAAAGCGACAATTCGTTCTTAACGAATTGGTAGAAACGGAAAGGGACTACGTTCGTGACCTCGGCCTAGTGATCGAAGGCTACATTCCGCTTCTGAACAGCGAGGCAGTTTTATCGTCACCGACGTTCCCTGAAGACCTCACCGAAAACAAGCGGAAGATGATCTTCGGAAACTTGGAAGCGATCTTCGAATTCCACCGAGATTACTTCCAGGCGGAGCTTGAGAAATGTTTAGAAGAACCTGAACGACTAGGACTTCTATTCAAAAAGTGAGTTTCTCTTCTATTTTTTTCTCCTTTGTCGGAGAACTCATCCAGCGGAGTTCACCGCTCCAGGCCGTGGAGCTGATTAAGGCTAATTACTGTTACGCTCTACGCCAGAGCCATCGGGTTAAAGAACGGGAAGCGCATCACTCGGCTCGCAGACTCGCTATTCGAAACTCTGCTTCCCTTCTAAGAGACAGCACTTATTTTCAAATGAACATTTTTTAATCCTGTTTTGCAGAACCGAACGCCGATTAGGAATGTATGTGGTCTACTGCCAGAACAAGTTCAAGAGCGAGGGCATCGTCTCGAAATATATGGACACACTTTTCGAGGAGCTCCGCCAGCAACTTGGTCACAAACTGCAGCTGCCCGATTTGCTCATCAAGCCGGTCCAGAGAATCATGAAGTATCAACTGCTTCTGAAAGACATTCTCAAATTCACGGAGAAGGCAAAGCTAACCAAAGAAGCCGAGGACCTCAGGAAAGCGGTGCACGTGATGCATGTCGTGCCTAAACTAGCCAATGATATGATGTGCGTCGGACGTTTGCAAGGCTTCGACGGGAAAATTACCGCACAGGGCAAACTTTTGCTGCAAGACCACCTCTTGGTCAGCGACGCCGTGCTGGCCACGAGCATGACGACCATAGCGCAAATCATGCTCACGACGACCAAGTTCAAGGAGCGTCAAGTGTTTCTGTTCGAGCAGATGATCATAATATGTGAGATGATCGGTGCCAGAGGTCCATATTCGACGCCCGCTTTCCTCTATAAAAGCGGCTTGATGGTGAACAAGATGACGTTGTACGAAGACGAAACCGATCCGCTCAAATTCTGTTTCGTCTCCAAGAACCCGCTTCAGGTTTGTAACTCCGCAGTCTATCGTACCCCGAGTCAGACCGGGGTCGATCCGTCTCGTCTGAGTAGATGATGTTTAAATGCTTCCGAGAATATCTTTACTCGTCCGGACAGTATGCGGAGAGCTTACGGCCACGGCGACTTGTGCCTCTGCTGTCTGCTCCTCATCGCTGGGGCATCCTCGAGCCTCGAATTCACTGAAAGACTTCCTTTGCAGGAGGACATGGTATACGTTCTGCAAGCGTCAACGCCTGAGAGCCGTCAGGAATGGCTGAGCAATATAAGGGCAATGCTCGACACACAGCAGGATTTTCTGAGAGCTCTACAATCGCCCATCGCCTATCAGAAAGAGCTCACGAAGGACGTGTGAGTACAGCTCAGTCAGTGTTGTCGAATCAATGGATAGACACGTGCGTGGTTCCCTCGCTGAACGCAACGGCTTATTCCTCGCGGACATTTTCCACCACCTGATCTCGCTCTGTCGCGTGTCTCTCGCCCTCCGTTCCGACTGATCGGCCGACCGGCTGACTGGACGCTCCGATCTCTCTATCCTACTATCTATCCATCTATCGAGAAGTCTCCGATCGACCCGTTCGCGTCGGACCCCCGTTCTGATCATTGTTTGCCCCTGATTCGAAGTCGCTGACGATCCGATGATCCGGCCCAACTTCTCCTCCGACTCTCCATCATTGTCCAGTGCTCTGAAAGCCTCCCCCATCCTATCGATCGTCCATTCTTTAAGATGAATGCGAGCGAAGCCATTGCGCTACGCCTGTATCAACTTAAAACGTGTTCATTTCTTCTATGAGTGAGTTTATAAGCAAAACTGCCCTTGAACGATTTGCTTATAATGCTATGAAATTCTAACGGATGGCGAATCATCTCCAGAAATCAACACTCGTAGCCAGGCTAAAGCAGAGTCCAGTTACCCTAAACAAGCAGCAACACAAGCAGACATGATCCATCATCCACAAGCATTCGACGCGTCGCTCAGCAAACAAACAAGAAAACAATTTCTTTGCACAATAAATCGCCATTCCGAAAAGGGAAGACTTGAAATTGTTTGTACATCGCACACCGAGCAAATCCCTCCGCCAGACACGACCAACAGCAAACATGAAACAGTCGATCAATGAAACGAAAACCAAGAACACGTACACTGTGTTGCTGAAAACTTGAGCCGTCTTGACAACAAGAGCCTCACCTCATCATCCCCACCTCTGTTACCACCTGGCGGCGGCGTTGAAGTGATTCTTTGAATGATGACGCGCCATGCTAGTAGTCTAGCTCGCAGCATCCGATTTAAAGAATCGTTGTGGATGGGGTATCCCTTGCTGCTGTTGCCGCCTTTACACAGGTGGTCGAATCAGCCTTTGCTTGATGTCAGTTGCTACCGACGAAGTACTACGATGTAAGTATCTCGAAGCATGACCTTAGCTCGTTGTCGATGTTTGAACCCTTCTACTCGTGCCCTGTACAATCTATCATGTCGGCGCATGCGGTCGGGCATGATCCCACCAGTCAACTCTGTCTGTCGCATGCTGACTGACCCGAATTTCAAAGTGACCTTGATCGGGAGACCTTCTGAGATATGAACATTCGAAATCGTGTGGATTGCGGTGATGTCACTCGTCTTCTAACAATGCTGGAAAGCCGGGGCTAGGTTCCGAATCCCTCGAGTAACTGGAATCTCTGTATCTCGCCCTCTCCCTAGGGTTCAAGCACCCGACACCCTGTGGAATCCGTCTCTACGTAAGACGCTGTCGCATCCCGCAGCTGTCCACAAAGTAGCAAGAGGAGTGTCTCAAGATGGCCAATCCACCAGCGGAGCTGAAAGCGCAGCTCATCTGGCGCCCTCGAAATCTGTCAAGCATAGCAGCAGGAGCAAGCTGGCGACTCAGCAACTCCACGAGCCTGGAACGATGGATTCCGGGGGAGCGGCCGGGGCCTCGCCACCCGGCAGGGTGCCTTCGAAAAAAGGCAGTCTGTTCGAGGGCTTCCGGAACACGCTGCGCCCGCGCGGCAAAAGCGGAGATCCGACAAACGGGGGCCTGTGCACCAGCCACTCCCTCGATAGGTCTGGCGACGCTGCAGCCTCCGGCACGAAGGGCGTAATCCGTAGATGGTCCGAGATCACCCCTAATTCGAACCCCCCTCCGAATAGTGAGTCGTGAATAGACCGAGTCGTCCATCGCGTCTGATGCGAATTGAGCGAAATCCAGACAGGCAACGAGGAGCAACGGTCGGACGCGCGACCGCAACCACAAACGAGCAAGAAAAACTCCGAGGATAGATGAACAAAGAGAAAGCGACGAAGCAGCCGAGTTTCGATGGAACATATAAAACAAGCAACTACATTGTACTTGTGAGAGGTGTGGCTGCTCGTCGCTAGTTGTACAAAAGGATTGCCTAAGATTACAGATGAGTTTAGATAGGTTAGAGGTCAAACTCTTTCAAGTGTACGCCCCAATTGAACTCGCCAGCATTGAAGGCGGCGGCAACAAACAGCTAACCCGCAAGGGTGAACAAGCATTATCCGGAAACGTTTGGATAAGCTGCCGCTCGGGAGTATTGTCGCGTTCTAGTCGAGCTGATTACAGTATTAATGTGTTATTTGCTGCAGTCACGGGTTAGATTTTAAGGAGCGATGGGTTTAGTGTTGTACATATTACGTGTTGGTATGAGAATTCGCTAAGATGCTCAACGAGAAGTCTTCGCCACCCCGTAACTTGAACTCTGAAGCCGCGACAAAGAGAGAGAGAAATTAAGTAATTAGAGAAAACTAAGAACCCAATTGTAATCGACGAGTGTGAAATAGAAGTGATAGAGAAGGAATGTTTGAAGTGAGAAAAAAAAAGGACATCTCAAGAAGACGCCGGGAGCTGACTATAGGTTTCTTCTCGGATATCTGGAGCCAGAAGAGGATGACTTCAAGCTTCCGGATCCAGCTCCTAAGATGGACGATGGAATACAATACGGAAGTGAATCTGGACGGACTCACAGCTGTCACTGTATTTCCTGAATTGGAGTGATCCCTTGAATCGATATCATACCATGGGAGATCCTCCGCGGAAACATGATCGGAACTTCAGAAATCCTTTATAGCCGAAAACAGTTGTGGTTCATGGTCGAATCGGGTCAAGGAGGAAAAGTGTAGAGAACCCCTCGGCCCAGTCTGATGCTTTGACTCTGGAAATGCCTGAAATATCCGTGGAGAGGCGTCCTAGGAAGCCTTCGAGTTTTTTTCAAGAGTCGAGGTACTGGAAACCTGCTGTAATTCCACGAGCATAGGTTGAGAAGCAATTGTGAGGAAGTTCCTGGAAACATCATGGTATACGATGCCTGGGATCTAGGAATTTTTAAGAACATTCAGTCTTAGCTGTTTCGTAAGATGAGTATGGAGAACAACGATGCGAGTTGCTGAGACGAGTGAACATTTCGAAAAAAAATCGATCTCCCAATTTTTCTCGAAGAGGTCCTGTGGAGTGAGACGAAGAGGCTTGGTCCATGAAGTCCTCCGATTAGATCGAGGAATTTCATCGGATGCGTGTAGTTTGAACAGACAAGATCGAGGAAAAGCGAAAGGGAACCTTCGAAAATCACAGACAGAATTAGCGAGCGTTTCTGAATTCGCTGATGGCGGCAACAAGCATGATCTGATAGAGAACAGGTTCTGATCACGAACCTAATATATGGAAGATGATAATATTATTATTATTATTATGTACAAACTCATGTGAAGGAATGATATGGAGACAGAGGGAGAGCCTAGTCTGAAATAATAAAAAAATAATTATCATTTCATAAGACTGATTGTGTTTCTTAGTACCATCTTTCCCTCGAATTACGATAAACCGGACTTCGTTCCAGCCTTGAAATCTCGAAAGCTTAGGACCATTTCGCGATGCCACCTGAGCCATTTCAATTTCTGCGTCCTCTCAACCGAATCCGTGATTTCCTCGACTCGACCTCCTTCAGCGCCACATTGGGGCGGAAAAAATATTGTGCTCCTGATTGAACTTTCGGGATTCTCAAGAGGCAGCGAGTGATTCCTCGTTATAAAAAGCGTCGCGTCGTCTGGAGTCGCTCCGTCAGTGAGCTTGGACGTCGTGCTCCGGAGCTCGCGCTCGTTGCCCAAATCAGAGACTTTTCTACTCAATTCTCTTCTCAATCAGTCTCGGGGACAGAAATCGGAACTCAAACTCGAGGTGACGCACCGTCGAATTGCTTGCCAATGTCGGCCAGAGACGTTCCCGAAAATCGTAAACTTACTTCGACCTGCTCGGCTCATAGCCAGCAGAACTTTTCTTTTGTACTCCCAGATAGAACGAATGCGGGGATGATGCCGAATCAATCAATCCTCCTCACGGCTCAGGAGTGCGACGGATCCCTCAAGTCACCGATGGTAGAGAAGGAGTCGACTGGATGTTCCGCGAGAGCATTATTGAATAATTGCAAGGTTATAGTTGACTTTCGAAGAAAGGGAAAGGACGCGCTACAAGGTTCCGCTGTGGCGCTCTACGTAGCCTCTATCGGAAGCGGCCGGAATGCCTAGGTGGTCGGCTTAACTGTAGGCCGATTCGCGATACAAAGTTCTACCCGTTCACCTGCGAGGAATCCAGAGATAGTTCTACTCGGAGCGAACCGGTTCGGATGCCAGTTTCTCGTGAGGTTCCAAGTTCAGAAATGGACAGCGAAGTCGAAGCCCGATTTCGGTGAGTAAGATTAAGGCGGACACCATCGACATTTCGGAATGCAGCCCCGACGAGACGCTGACCGAATGTGAGGCGAATCAGCTTCTTTAGTGTGAACGTATTCGTCTCTTTTACGATCGCGGCGGCGAGCGAGCGATATATCCATGACTGGAGTTCACCTTAGACCCAGTTCAGGCTCCAATTGAGTCAACACTCATGCTGGTACCCGTGAAACCTCGTTCGGAAAATGAACTCGATGGGATAGGTTTTTTCTCCGGGATGCCAAGCGCTCGCGTGTGTTGTTCGAGGAAGAATCGCTCCCAGGCACGTTTCCCTGTGTCGTTGAAGTGCAAATACCCGGGACCGCACTATCGGGGGATTTGACGTTGGCGACGCGACAGTCGAGTCTATTTGGGCCATGATGAGCGATTTCGTAGAAATTCCGAAGGGTTGTTTTCAATTCTTTATGGGTCAGCTCCGTACCCGCCAATATCCCAGTTCAGAAGATATGCGCCCGCTCGTATTTGGGGACGGTCAGAATTGGCGGAAATCGTCTTTTTGGACAAAACTTCAAGAAGCCCCCTGACTCGCCAAGTTTGAGAATAATGTTTCATTCGATTATTGGGAGCGGCTTAGTATATAGGAGCCCTCTTGCCTTAGAGCGTGATAGTATGATATTGTCACTCCTGGAAACGGTAATTCTTTGATGAGATCAGATTCGTGATCTGCTATGGCCAAACATATATTGATCCCAACTAACGAACGGGTCCAACTAACAGTCACCGTTTGGACGCGCACGGAATGGTTGACGGGTGCACAAAAAACGGGCACATTATCGAGCGAAGCGAAAATGCCACCGATAAGAGGATATGTGACGAATCCCATCGCGGAAAGGTTCGTTCGACGCTAAGACATTAGTTTTTCTCCCATTCGAGAGTTTTAAGAATATATTGGCTCGAGTTTTGCACAAGCCTTCAATTCGACTTCCGATGAACGAAAACTCGACGAGTTCGAAATCGGGGGTGCTCCTGCAGTCGAACTTCTCGGCTGATGCATGTACAGCTGAGAAGCGGCAGGAAGAAACTCCTCACCAATCTCCCTACCTTAATGGCAACGTTTCACCTCAACTCCTTACCTTAGTGGCAACTTTTTACTTCCTCGAGCTCGATCCTTGGGAAACTAGCCTTGAGGCGAGCGTCAACGATTGATAGGTAGATTTCGATGCCACTGTTCTCCTGAAGCCCCGCCATCCCCATTACAGATCAGTACGCCCTCATCAGGGTCTGATTTCGACGACGAAGAGAACGCGGCCAGAATCAAAGAGATAGCCCGCACTATGAATCTCGAGAGGAGACGCTGCGCGCTAGAGGAACTTGTAGAGACAGAAAAGTCCTACATAGATGATCTCGAGAAAGTGGTCGGAGGTTACATGAAAGTCATCGATGAGCCGATCGATTCGGACGACGCGATCCAAGTTCCAGATGATCTCATGAGAGGGAAGATCCGATTTGTCTTCGGCAATATCAAAGAAATTTATGACTTTCATCGAAACTCTTTCTTGGCGAAATTGGAAAGGTGTCGGGAGGAGCCGGAGCAGCTAGGTCGCGTTTTCAAGAGGTGAGCGATCGGAACATCGAATCCTCAACAATTCCACAAAGTTTCTATGACGAGTGCTGGAAATATGACTCATCAAGTTGACCTTAAATTCTAATTGATTTCTCTTTGCCTCCCAGTTGCGAGCGACAGATGAACATGTATGTCAGGTACCATCAGAACAAACCCTATAGCGAATACATCGTTTCGGAATACGACGACAATTTTTTCGCGAGAATTCAGCAGCAGCTTGGTCACACTCTCACACTGTCGGATTTGCTCATCAAGCCCGTACAGCGGCCAATGATGTACAAACTCCTCCTCTCATCGATTCTGAAGATGAGCAAGAAGGCCGAAATTACGTCGGGCATTGAAGATCTCGAAGACGCGGTCAAGATGATGCATCTCTTGCCCCAAATGAGCAATGACATGCTGGAAATCGGTCGCATCCAGGGTTTCGAGGGAAGACTCGGCAAACAAGAGAAGCTCTTGCGCAAGGGTCAATTGTTGGTCCTGGATATGAGTCCCGGCTCTCCTTGTGCGGTTTCGAGCAGAATCCGATTCAAACAGAGAAGGGTGTTTCTGTTCGAACAAATAATCATTTTCTGCGAGATGATCGACGGTAAAACGAAGTTTTCGAAACCAACATTCATCTTCAAGCACAGTCTGTCGCTGAACAAAACGAAACTGCATTACGAGGGTATGGAACCTCTCCAGTTTCTACTCACGACCAGAGACGAAATCAACGTAAGAGTCCAGAGACCCCGTGAGCTCTGAAGATTCACGGCGTGTAGTCGATGCGGTTTTGGAAAGAGATGATAATTATCTTCGAATTCTTCCAGGAAGGCGAATCTTTCGTCTTACAAGCACCTTCGGAGAAAGATCGACGAGAATGGATCGAGAGCATCGAGAGAGTTCTAGGCTCTCTATTGGATTTCCGGAGAGCTCTGGAGTCCCCCATCGCTTACCACAAAGGGCTCGGCGAAGACACGTGAGTAAAGCTCCTGAATCTCACAGAAAGATGACATTCTCATCAGACCCCTCTAGAGGGGTGCATATCGGAGAACCAAGATTCTGTTCGTTGCCAGGCCCTCCCCGACGATTTTGGAGAGTCCTCTGCCACCCCACATGATGCTCCGGGTGTCGTCTGTGAAGAAAGGATGGAGGAAAAAACCATCGTCTGCCGCCGCCGGTGGACGCGATGATCCGTCGTCTTGCGCAGAAGAGGTGGATTCCGGTGGCGGATCTGCATTGCACACGTCATCGACGGAAAGGAAAACTTTCTTGCGAGATTTCTGCAATATCTTCCGTCCCTTGAAACGATTGTTGAAGGATAAAAATCATACACATATCTGACATCGGCGACGACCTCACGCAGGTCGTGATTATCGCTCCTATTCCCGGGGAGTCGCGAATGATCCAAGGATCCATGTTATCTTGTGACGGAATATATATAGAAGTCTCTGACGGAATATTCCGGTTCGGACGAAGCAGTTATGGAAGAGTTTCAAAATTGATCTTAATCTCACAATGTCTCAAGCTGGAGTAGTTGGAACAGGTCTTGATCGCGACCAAAGTTGTAGAGAGAGCTCGCACCGATCTTCCTTGTATCTATTGCAATGACAATATCTGCATAATGTATGTATACATCACAAATAGTGAATGAAGTGAAACGTTACTGGTGCTTCCATCTATCTTATGATCTCATGAATTTCTTGCGGAAGCCGCCCCTAGGCTCGGGGGATACCCACCAAAAAAATATTGCCTCGAGATATCTATCAACGTCATCCAACTCATTTGCCTTATTGCATATTGGGCCCCTCGAAACTCCGCGGAATTCTCAGTGACGAAAGATTCCATCTTCGACAGACTCAAATCGATCGATCTAGGGAGAGCCACTAATGCATTGTCTCTCGGGTCTATCGAAGGAAACTCGAGCCAGGCTTTGTTTCGAGTGAGCATTATTATTGGCGTGCCAAACATAGCTCGTCGCGCGTGCGTCGACGCATCGGACATGCTTAAAGCTCAAGGGTGTGGTATTAGGACCATTCCAATGTTTCTCTTCATGGAGCTGAATCTGCTCCCAACGGGCTGACTTGTGATTTGACCGATTTATTCGCCCCGGAAGGATCTTTTCATCTCTCGAAATCGAGAAAGGAAAATTGTACAGTGTTATACTGCATTCATTCCAATATATTGCCTGATCGGCAATCGTCTGACCTGTTGCGTGCCCGTGGAGGGCAAGGAAGCCTGCATTCTGAAGATCTCGGGAAGTCTCGGGGAAAAGCTAGGAATACATGCTTCTCTAGTAATCTTCAGCTCCTTCTCTATGGAGCTCCGGTGGGCTGGGGAGGATTCGGATCCATTCCCGGGATTTAGTCGAGAGGATGCGACTGTATGGTTCAGGATCCCTGCTCCGGGGACTAGGCTACCAGGCTCTACCCGAAGACCGCCCCCTTGGGTTTCAGCCCGATAGAACGCCGTGGGTGACGGCGCTCAGAGAAACTTCTTCCCTCAAGTCGACCGACACTATGAGCAGACTCAAAGCCAGCCGCATGCCAGCTGGGCTCTTGATTTATCGCCACACAAATTCTGACTTGTAGATCTATTCATCAAAGTGAGAAGACGGAGCAAGCGTCGGGAGACACGTACCAGAGACTTTTCCTAGTTTCGTCCGCTGGAGAAATGTGAGTTTTTGGGCATTTTCGTGACACTTCAGCACCACCAGGGGGAAAGCACCACGTTAGTTTTCTGCATTAGGTAACCGGATTCGCGCTGTACACCAATGTCGACGACCTCGATGCGGAGGTCAGACTTGGGTAGCTCGCGAGTCTGAAGCGACCTGCTGGACGAACTCAGACCGTCTCGTGACGTAGTTCGGTACGCGCAAGTTCCAGCGGAATTTCACTCCGATCGAGACCACCCCGATAATCTAGAGATCGATGAATCGATTCACCTGCAGGAGTCGAGGAGCAATGCTCTGCCGTCCCAGCGAAGATTGTGAAGCAACGGGGATGGATGACTCGCTTCTTCTCCGAAGCGATTCCGAAATTTCTTCATATTCTATGAGCATCCTCTCTCAGGTCTGCCACGCTGCCGGAGCCTGAAACTTAATCGGGGGTCCCATAGAGAACCTAGAGTCCCATTCGAGAGCTTCGCATTGGAGCCGAGTCTTTTTCTCGCCGCTCTCAATCGCTGCAGTCCTCCCTGACAACTTTTGCTCGAGTTCGATAAGACTCGCTGTCTCTCCCCCGAGCAGGAGTCCGGACGGGAGTAACAAGCAGGATTCCATTCCGATTGTCCCCAAGTTCAGAGAAAGCTCGCTCTTAATTCGTCGCCGGTTTGCCATGGAATAGCTGTTCATCGCTTCGATTGAATGGCTCAAGCTTTCTCCGCAGTGGGCGCTACATGCCATCAACAATTCAGCAAAAAGTTGAGAACCGCCTCGGTGATGGCGGTACCTCAGTCTTCAACCTCGCTGAAGATGCACGCATCGATGCCCTGCTTGGAGCTTGCGGCGAACGATTCGGGCTACCGGTGAGGAAAATCCTATCATCCTGTATCGGAAGACTGGGATCATCAACTGAGATTTACGGAATATGTTTCACAAAACGCAGGTGGATGGAACGATCGCACTTTATTCTGCCGAAGGCTCACTTCTCGACGGGTCCTCTCGTCTCAGAGACGTAGTGAAGCCTGATGGAATCATTCATCTCCGGGAGAAAAGTAGGAAGCCTTCTTCGCTGGTTCTGTTCATCGCAGGTCCCTCCACATATTTCATGCTGAGGATGAGGAATCGTCCTCCTCTCCATGATACTCCTCCGCGAGTCATTTCGTGGATGGGAATACTTGTTTGCTCCAGTCCCTCGTTGGAACGATATTCATTTTTCTCCAGAGTCAGATGACGATCTCCTTCTCGGCCATAGCTGGCTCTCTTGGAGCGTGCTCTCTTTCTTAGTTTCCATCAGCGGTATCGTTCTGACATCATGCGTTTTCGCGCTCTCGAAACACAAAAATGCTTTCGATGTGAGTTTCACTTCGCAGTTCGACTGTATCCCCGTTGTCGGAACCTCCGCGGTTATACCCGCGAATATATTCGATTCGATGCTCAGAATCTTCTCCTTGCAGATGGGGGTCGTTATCGATGCCGGGTCAACCCATTCCGAAGCCGTGATCTTCAAGTGGCCCCTGCCGAAAACGAATGGTACCGCGAAGCCTATGGAGGTCGAAACGCTTAGAAGTAGAAAAAAAAGCATCAGCTCCCTGAGTCCAGAAGAGGCTAACACGGAATTCACAAATTTATTGGGCCAAGCGGAGCGAATATTAGCTGAAAACACAGATAAAGAATCGGTACTCTACATGTCTGCAACCGACGGGATGCGGCTTCTCCGGTAATGACGAACAGTTAGGAAACAGCGATCCGATTGCGTTTCGATCCCAATGGGGTTTCCTCTATCCTCCATTAATCTTCCCTTCACCGCTGATCCAGGATGCAGAATCCCGATCGAGCAAATGCAATCATTGGCTCCGTCCGCGAGGCGATGAAAGACAGCGGATTGAATTACAAAGCGGCTGAAATAAGCGATGGAGCAGACGAAAGTGCTCAGAAATGGGTGAGCCCCGATCTCTCTCCAATTCACTTATTTTCATTCAAATCATCGGCTAGAAACGACTTGGCGGCTGACCGGCAAGCCTTGAGACATATTCCGGAAGGCTGCGCGGAGTTCGAATAATTTACCCACTTGCCGCTCAGATTATTCGGCTCTCGTCTCGGATACGATGATTTTGAGATCAAATCGGCCCGCACATTCTACTCGGATCGTTGCTTCGCAGTATGACCTCTTCGATGTTTGATCACCCGAGTTGAAGTTTCACACCTGTGTCTCGTCTCATAGGTGTCCGTGAATCACGAAAAGAATCGTCTCTCGACTTATCAACCAACATTTGGCGCCCTCGACCTAGGGGAGACTTCCACGCACATCACGGTCGAGGTCAAGGAGGAAGCAGACGCGACGAGATCTCTGGAGCTCTACGGCAAACAATATCATCTTCTGAGCAAGGATTACCTTTGCTTCGGACTCGACGAATTATACAAACGCTACCTAATGGCTATAACGACCAGCCGTGTGAGTGAACAGAACATTAGAATAGCCGCTCTACGATGTTTGAGCTCGTCGCTAGATCGCCGACGACTAAATCGTCCTCGTTGCTTCCAGAATGTATTCGACAAGGCAAATTTCACCATCAGCAGTCCCTGTCACTCTCGAGGTTTCAGCAGCAAGATCAGAGTTGGTCAATTTTTGAGTCCGTGCGTACTCTCGGATAAAACGCCAGCCGGTATCGAAGATCTTGTAAACCGGGCAAGTATTGGAGTCTTCTTATCCTATCATCTCAGACCATTGGAAATAATGAGATGCTTCGACGTACATGCTATGACGAAGGGAGCACACGCGGCACTGCAGGCTTGACAACTTAACCGTCATCGATTCTTTCAGACCGTGTTCGTCACTGGAGCGTGGCATCCGGGGGCTTGTCGAGGCATAGTGGCGAGTCTTTTAGATGCGCAACAGTGTCGGGGTGAAAATTACAAGTTCTGTTTCGATCCGATCGACGCCACGCTGCCCATGGATGTGCAATACATTGCCTCCTCGGGATTCTTCTCCGCAACAAATGAAGCCAAAATCAAGATCAGCGATGGTTTGGCGGTCCTGAGAAATGTCTCGATGACCTTCTGCAATCAACCGTATGACGAGTGGTTGGAGAAGTACTTCGAGGGAAAAGCTAACGACGCCGCTCAAGGCTGCTTCAAAATCAACGTGGTCCGATCGATTCTCGTGGACAAATACGGCTTCACCGAGCAAGGCTACAGGAATTTGCAGATTCCGCAAAAGGTGGGAACGGTTCAGTGGAGGCACGCTACTCTGACTTCTCCACTGGAGAATGAGCGATAGTTGACATCCTGAGCTCGTGACGGCTCCCTTGTACCTTGATGTTCAATCTTCACAGAACGGTGGACAGAGCATCTCCTGGCACATGGGTTTCATGATCAACGCCAGCAATGCTCTACCTGAAGAAGAGGACGACGGAAGTGAACTGACCCTGGGAGCTTTCCTCTCGTTAGTCATGTTCTTCACTCTGGAGATGTTCGTCTCCTTCGCACTCTTTTGCCTCCATCGGCAGGCCGGTCTCCGAAAAGAGGAAACGCGTTTGTCACCCTTGTGAGCGGAACCCTCTCACGGACCCCTCCAATGAATATCTGGTGATTTCATCGGGAATCTGTGAGCAGTATGGAATGATGCTTCGACCACAACCGTCAAAGTGGTAACGAAAATACAAGTCTCTGATACGAATATATGTTCGACGAAAATTTACAACTTCCAATAAAGGATGAATATGTCTCTCATTGAGATGACTGGTCTTCTCTCAGGGGGGAATCCTCCCGAGATAATCCGCGAATATCGTTATCGAATGGATGGGCCGATGTCCCCGTATTTTCCGTGAATCCCGAATCGACGTATGCTCATCCGATAGTGAATATGGATTAACTGCACCTCCCTGCACCCTCTTGCGCATCATCTCATGAGGTGCCTGACGAATTGTGGAATGCATGAAGTGCGGCTGTCGCACATCTCTTGGGAGCGTATGGCCAAGCTCAAGAGTCCGTTCGCCCGATCCCGCACCTATCCTTGGCAATGGAGAGGATGCCGAAGAGCTCGGGTCACCAAACTCGATCGGGTCGAGTTTCCTACCTACAGGGATATTTTTCCCCATCAGGTCTTCGAAATTCGAAGACTTTTTCTCTCGTCGCCTGTGCAGGTGACCGAATCTCAAGCATTTGACCATGGGATGGATTCCCAGATTGCGTAAATACCAGCGATTATCCGGTGACATCACTCAGCAAAGCTCTCCGAAACTCAGCGAGGTGAGACATAGTCCCTTGGGAAACGCCCGCCAATCCACTGCTGTCAGACAGAGAATCGAGTGATTCACAGCTGGAACACGTCACAAGCTCTGAACGTAGACAATCTTTTCAGAGCAGAGCGTCTCCGATGTGGAACCGGTGTATCCGCTGTTCGATGCGGCTTGAGCTAAACTGTTCTGCCGAATAAGCGAGTGGAAAGGAGACTGTTCGCGGTCCCGGCTCGGCCGATTATCTCAGGGATCCAATCCTCGAGCCAGCGGCCAATCGATCGTCTCGGAATCTTGTGGTCACTTCCGCTGAAGGTCGCTCCATCAATCCAGCCGTCGCTCATTCAGGAGCGGAGGCGTACCCACGCCACATGGGACCTGCTAACACGCGGTCGGTTCTGTGCGTGCAAATCGGTGTCATATCCCGAACCGTTCGTTTCAGTTTGTCGTGCGTTCTCCGAGTGCCTCGTGATCTTTGTGTGTCGTCTTCATTAAGGAAATGACCGTTTGGATGACTGGGAGCTTTTCCGCAGCGCGCGCTCGATGCTGGCGTCCTCTCAACAGAGGGTTGAAAACCGCTTAGGTGACCGCGGCAGCTCAGTTTTCAGCATCGGCGAACATGCGACAATTGACATCCTGCTCGGCTCCTGCGCTGAGCGATTCCATTTACCGGTGAGGAAATTTCAGATGCGGATCCATCAATCTGATGGTTCCATGTCAGCGACTGTGGAGCCGATTTTGAGTAGGATCGGACCTCCACGGTGGGATTGAACAGATGAAGGTCGCACCGTCGCGTCGCATCGAACCTCGTCCGCTATAGCGCAATACCCTTGGGTAGATTCGAGGAATTCTCGTTTCCTGAGAGGGCCTGGCTTCCTCGAGCAGCGAGTGACCCATCCTCTGGAAGTCGACGGTCGATGAAGGGTGTAACTCGGTGAATGATTATATGACGTTCAGACCGTATCAATCTTCGATCCGGTCTCGCGAGCATTGAAGCCGCATTTGCTTAAAGCCCAGCTGGAATCGAGAGGAATAAATCCGACCAGACCGCTCCTATTCAGAGCATAGATTGACGGGGAAGAAGGAGTTCATCCTTTACTCCCACTAGATCGTTTCTCCATGCCGAAAGTCCTGAGAGAACTTCCATTACACAGATCTGACACTGAGGAGAACCAATCTTTATTGGCCCAGGTGAACGGAGCGATCGGACTTTATTCATACGATGGCACCTTACTCAAGGGCTCCTCTCGCGTCAGAAGCCTCGTCAAACCGAATGAGACGATTTATCTCCAGAGGAAAGGTACTTTTTCTCCTTAGTCGTTTAGATCCGGGTGGGAGAGAGAGGAGAGACTGAGATGAATTGACCGACCTGTAGCCTGAGTTTGGCGATCGGCATGGCTAGAAGTCAACCATGGCAGCCGAGAAGATGAGCGGGCCTGAACCATATCGCCTCACGGAGCATGACGCGATGACCTGGGGGCAACCTCGACCGGGATCCTCGAGATAAAAATTCTAGGGGGAATTCCGGGAAATGGTTCAATGAAAAGCGAAATTACAGGAAGCCTCCGCTTCCGCGTGTCAGCAGTTCGTGTCTGACTCCCGAATTCCTTTCCAGAGGACTGCGACGACTTCCTCTTCGGATGTGATTGGCTTCGATGGGGTCTGCTGTGTTTCATGATCGCCATCGCTGGAATCATCACAACATCATGTCTTTTCGCTCCTCTCAAGCACACCCATCCTTTCGAAGTATGAAACTCCCCGACAAAACGCGATATAATCGCATCGTTCCGTCGTCGGGGGAATATCCAGAAGACCGAACCTCCTCAGCGTTTTTTTTTGGCATTCATAGATGGGAGTCGTCATCGACGCCGGATCGTCTCACTCTGAAGCAGTGATCTTCCGGTGGCATCATCCGAAAATAAACGGGACCGGTAAGGCCCTCGAAGAGGGTAGAGTGAAGAGCCACAAGGGGGGCATAAGCTCTCTAACTCCCGAGGAAGTTTACGCGGAGTATCGAGACATGTTGAACAGAACCAAGATGCTGATCGCGAATTATACCGACGAAAGAGCCGTCCTCTACATGTCGGCCACCGGAGGCATGCGTCTTCTGAGGTAATTTGACAGAACTCGAATGCCGAACTGCACATTGACAGCTTCCCCCTCCCCTCCCCTCCCCTCCCCCCTCTCCCACACCACTTTGAAGTACCCAGGTGGGGTTGTGTGGACGGATCATGAATATCTATAAAACGGGCTCACCAGGATGCAGAACCCGGACCGAGCCAGCGCGATCATGGAGTCCGTGCGCGAGGCCATGAAAGAAAGCGGTTTCATATTCGAAATGGCTGAAATAAGCGCCGGAGCTGACGAAGGCGCTCAGGCTTGGGTAAGTCAATATTCCCCGGATACAGTTCGACGAAATCGGGCGCAAACTTCGAGGACCCTGACTGATTGCTGGGGCAGTGGTTTTATGCACCGTTCGATTCGCTGGAGACGTCGCAGACTGATCACGAGAAATCGTTGATATTCTTGCAGGTTTCGATAAACCACATCGAAGACCGACTCTCTTCGTACCAGCCTACGTTTGGCTCCCTCGACCTCGGTGGCGCATCGACCCAAATCACGGTTGAGGTAGATAGGAAGGAGGAGGCGACGAGATCTCTGAAACTGTACGGCAAAGAGCACTTCGTATTCAGCAAGAGTTATTTATGCTTCGGGCTCGACCAAGCATACCTCCGTTACGTGATAACGCTGCTGATCGAGAATGTGAGTAGGTGAGCGGAGGGCGAGCTTATGTTCGACGTCCGATATTCTTTTTTAGATTCTTTCATGACCTAAGAGTTTTTCCAGTCCGCTTTCGACAACCACAACTATACGGTCGAAAGCCCCTGTCATTGTGACGGTTTCACCGCCCAGAAGAATCTAAGCCAGATTCTAGGTCCATGTGTCCACTCGGACCGTCTGCCGCCCCACATCGAAGACGAGGAAGACAAGGCAAGCGAAGCGACCGTAATTTCTCAAGCTTGTGAATATCCTCCCCGTCCGCCGTGCTACTGGAAGAATCCATGTCTCTCCGAATCTGCAGATTATCGTGATCAATGGCAAGTGGAATGCCACGAGGTGTCGCGTAGTGACAGATGATATCTTCGACGCGGGAACTTGTGGGAGACATGAGTACAAGTACTGCTTCGATGAGGTCAATATCACTCTGCCAATGAAGATGGACTACATTGCCTTTTCGGGTTTTTCTTCACAACGAATGAAGCTGGGGTCAGAAGTAGTGACGGATTGACAGCACTTGAATCAGCCGCAAACAACTTCTGTGATCTACCCTACGACGCCTGGTTGGAAAAATACTACGGCAATAAATCGGGGTATGCAGACAAGGGTTGCTTCAAGATCAACATGGTTCGGACTATGATCGTCGACAAATACTCATTCACCGAGGAAGGCTATCGAAGAATTCTGTTCACTGAAAATGTAAGCTGTCTGAGTCTGAAGTGGTCCTATGCAAGGTCCTCCCAGAGCTCCGAAGGTCTAACTCCTGTCGATGACTTCTATCTCCAGATTGACGGACAAGGAGTTTCGTGGCCGATGGGTCTCATGTTGAACGCCACCAATGCGCTTCCCGAAGATGACGAGAGCCTCTGGGGAATGCCTCTGGAGGCTTTCATACCGCTTATCATTATATTCGTGTTGATCCTTCTGGCATCTTTCGTCTGCTTCCATTATCATCGGAAAGCCGACCTGCAAAAAGTTCGAGGCCTCATGTTCGCCTCGTCGATCAGGGCCTCATGAGCAAGGCATGGGCTCGCTGAGATCTCTATCACCAAATCCGAGTGAGGAGTTGTTGGAGCGAACGAGATCGAGGACTCAATGGAGCCTAATAAACAAGAAGTGTGCTTCTACTTGCGAATGTACTTGGATGAGAGCAGGAAGAAGAGAATTTCAAATCAACACTCTGATGAACATGAATACTGAGCTAATTAAAAATTCACGCCCCTACGTCACGGGTCATATCTCATGTCAGATCTCTGCTGGTTCGGGCCGATTCAATGACGAGGAATTTAAAAAGTCCAAAGGTATTTATTCGGAGCGATGGCCCTCTCGCTCTACATTCTGTCGCTCGAGTGGATGATCGACTTGAAGAATTGATTCCTAAGTAGAATATTCACTCAATCATTCGCAACGCGACCGCAAGGCGTGGCCACATCTTACACAAATCTGTATTCGGTTCTCTGCTCAGATTTCAGGAAACTTTCGCTCATTCCTTATTTACATCGGGCTTAAAATCACAGGGTGCTGTACAAAGAATCGTCTGCAAGATCCGCGGAATGTACAATTTGTTGGAACAAATTACATGTGGACTCCTGAGAACGTCGTCCACGACGCTCCCTAGCTATCGATGCCGCCTCCGATGACGAACACTTTCATTCGGCGTGCGCCTCTCCCTGTGTTGTGGTGGCTGAGCTTGATCTCCCAGGGTATTTTGCACATTTCTACATCGACAGTTGGCAGGTCTCGTTGAGTTCACTGAAACGATCGGAGAAAGGCTCTCAATGATGGCCCAATTCAAGGATTGGAGTCGTGGGTGCATTCCTCTCCGGTCTGGCAATAAGATATGTATGAATACGCGACACACAGCAGGATGAGAGAGGTCGCGGTAGCGACGATGGAAAGAGTAGCGGAAAACTAGAAGTCCTGCAACCGGTTTGCCTAGCAGCTACGAGCGGCCAATTGGAGTGCTGGGGATCAGCAGCGTTCGAATGAAAGACCGACCCGCCGCTATGTCGGGAAGCATTCGAGGGAATATCAAGTGGGTCCAGTAATCGGGGAAGATCGAGAAGTTCCCCAGCCTTAACGCCCTCTGAACCGGAGCTTTGAGTAAATTTCCGGGAAGGGGTGATATCTGGCTACCACGGAGAATTGAATGCTTGGGATGCGAGAAGGAACGCAATATTCTGCGATCGTAAATTTCATGGTGTCTGCGGTCTTACCCTTGTTCCCGGCTCCTGACACGGAGAAGCCAACTGAGATGAGGCACAGAATTTGAACAATGGCTCCAATTACTAGACCCCAATGGAGCAACCGGTCAAACAAACTTTCTGGTTTGCTGAAAGCCTCGTCTTCCATAGTTGCATCGGTCCCCGACTCTGGTCATTCAGGTCTGGGGGAGCAACAGAAGCAGCCGCTCTCAGAGTCCTCTTCGAGCGGCGGCCATGGTGTGGATGCGCGCGCAGCCCAGCGGAGAATCTCTGTGTGTGCTTACTGGAGCTCGGCCTCCAGAGGGGACCAGGAACCCTCAAGGGGAGAGCGCGGGAATTCGAAATTCTCAGTGAAACTGCTCGTATGAGTCACAGAGCGCCGTAGTTCCCATGGAGTTCATCGCGCCGCTGAGCACCCGGTATATTTTCGTTCATCCGTCGACTATTTTTCCGATCGAGTTTGGGGATTATGTTGATCTTATAATAATGTCAATAAAAATCGTGTATCCTATGTATATGCATATGTCTCACTATAACTTCATCGGGGAATTCCGTGCATTCCACTCGTGGTCTGAAATGCAGACAATAGATAGAGAAGATGGAGGAGCAAATCAATCAGGATCCCTATGAGGAATCTTGATCGAGATCGAGGGAGGGAATGGGGCAGCCGTTAGCGGCTCCGTGCCATCAGGGCAAGACCTTTTGGGGGTCGGCCAGGTCGTTGGTGTTCTCTCTCTTCACTGATCCGATTGAATGAATAATCCGTTTCTTCACCGAATGGAAATCATCATTCTGCCGCGGATGGGATAGCTCCAAGGGATCTCCGAGATGAAAAATCAGCTCTGGACCGCAGCGTCGGATTCCTCGATTCGGGCGGAGCCTTCAGTCACATCTTCTTGCGCTTCTGCTTCTGACGATACCGTTCAAATATCAGCGAAAACTTGATCCCAGTTCGCAGTGCCCGCAGAATTTTGCAAAGTTTCAGAGAAGCCAAACCTGTAATGATAACCTGAAGTGATGAAATCCTCCCCGTCCCCGGTATCCCGTTCCTTCAGCCGAATCAATTGACGGATTTCCATCTTAAGCGCATCGTCGGAGAATCACGAAACGTCCACCTCTGTTGATGTGATAAGCGAGATAGATTGCTGCAAAGTCTTCCATTGTGAATCCAGTGACGATGAGCCGTTCACTAGTTCTCACAGGTGTTCCAAAAAAGATCTCGATAGGAGCCTCCATGGGAACAGCACACGAAGCAGAGATGTTCGATAGGCTCATATCTTCCCTCGCGAATCGTTTCCCTCAGATACCAGGCTCGATCCGAGGATATTCTTCGATTTCCGGCATCGTTGTCCGCCCTGGGAAATCCTCCTGACTCGTGAGTGTAGAATATGGAATGCGACGTCAATAACTTGAAAAAGTAATGAAGACTAGCTTATCTAAATCTGACTAACTCAGGAGGAGAGTATCGCGAAGAATGATTCGATGCACGTGACTTGCTTTAAATATGTTTATTGACTACCATCACAAGGGTCCACGATAAAAATACGAGTTCACATTCCCTCATATGAAAGAGGCTCGTAGTCCAAAAACAACTCATACATTTGCGATGTTCGACGACATTGAGTAGGGCAGGATTGTTGTTTTTCTCCGATAGGATACGTATCTATTTCCATTGTAATTCTCATCGCAACGTCTGCCGTCTCCGAATCAAGAGACGCTGCGTCAGCCAACGGTATTCTAACAGGAAGATATCCAGTTTGTTTTCAGAAAACCGAACAAGCAATAGCTGGACAGAATATCCTCATCATTGGGCGCTCGACGGGCCCGCCAGCTGATCCTGTACATCAGTCCCGGGGTCGGGCAACACGTTTCCCGGAACGGCACTTTGAACTCCGTCGCTCAGTACATGAGTCAATTCGCCGACTGTCCCGAGAGCCAAAGATGTTGAGGGCATTTGGGGAGCGATCATATCATCAGCTGGAGCGTAAGTCCCGTTGAAGAGAACGTCCGCGAGTGCGGGATACTCTCGCGATGTCGAAGGAGTATTTCGATCCATGATATTAGGCACGACATCTGCATAAGCCGGAGGGGGCTCGGGGCACGCCATATGATACGGAGGCGGTGGGTGACTCCATTGAGCGCATCGTGACATACTCTGATGGACCGCTGGAGGAGCGTCCGAATTTTCATCTGAGAACTGCGGTGGTGGTCCTAAGCACACTGTGTGTTGATGGCGGTAAGCTGCGGAGATCGGCGAATACATCGTTAGTGCCGGTGCGTATTGGGTGAGAAGAAAAGGACAGGAAGATGATTCGATCAATTTTGGAAAAAAAGGTAGCACTGATCTCTATCATCTCATCCGAGCTCACCATTGGTCGAATGTTTCGGCGATTCGTTCGGCGTCGTCAGATAAGCATTGATGACCTCATCGTCATCAGCGAATAGAGCTTCCCCCTCCTGCAGATGAGTTCCGCGGCGGACGACAGCCAATGTGCCGCTGAATGCGACCAGTGCCAAGAAAAAGCCCGAGTAGCGTCTGGAAATCGGTCATGAGGATTATTGCCGCGGGCTGGTCCTCCCCGAAAGTCTCCATATCCGTATCCGGTATCCTTCAGGCTCAATCTTTCTAGTGCCAACCTGTCGGTGTCGAGCCACATGGCTAGAGCCCCGAGACCCATCAGGAACAGGAGCAGTAAACAGAGGAACAATCTCCTGAGAGCCAGGAGTATTAGGTTATACTCCGATGGCTCTATGATGAGAAAAGATCGAGAATCGGTGCCGGGCGACTCTGGTGTACTGTCCGTCATGCTGACGGTTTTCCCCTGTCCGCTCCCGACCGCCTCTGAACCTGGAATGGAAACACATATAACTTCGTACGGCTCCCCGAGTTCGCCGCAGACAGAGACCGTCGACGCGGGAATCCGTCCGGTCATTCGAATAAATCCGAATGCAGACGACTCCCGCAGGAGATGTTCGCTCCCGGGCAAGGTCCCGCCGCAGTCTGATGGGAGGAGGTAGCTCCTATGGACAATGTCCCGCGGTTATGATCGATTTCATCAATGCACGGATTCAATCTTAGCTCCATCTATATTCAGCGTCTGTGGAGCTTTCCGAGGGATTCTCCGGCGTCGCCCCTTGTGGGGAAAAAAGCATCGATTCTCCGTATTTTCCCATCCCGGAAACTTTATTCATCCTCACAGCATACAGGTTCATGTACGAAATCGTCGCACCATTGTCCCAGATCCCAGTGTACATATACGTAAATATTTACATCGATGACAAAGTACACAGTATACAATCCATATTATTTTCTAGAAGGATGTCCATTGGAGGGTATTTTGTTCGCTTTTTGAAATCGCTCGATCGACGTGATCTTCGGCGCGGATTTCCGCGACCCCATTTCGAGCCTCGCGATGTTTTCCACATAACGTAGCTCCGACGCGCGGATCGAGTGTGAGCTCAACGAGAAATCCGCGGCTATATATGCACTTGTACATCTATTGCTGCCTGCTGTCAAGTCGGCGGAAGATTGTTCACGCTTGCCAGGCTGTTTGTACAGACCGGATAATACATCGAATTTATGGAGAGACGTTGCTCTTCATGCGGACACCCACAGGAAGACGTTGTCGACGAACTTCGCTGCGGACAATTTGGCAGTCCTGGTGTATTTATGGCGTGGTTTATTGGTCTCTGTAGCGAGCCTGTGTGCGGATAGTAATAGGCCGTGCGCGACTGATGACACATCATCCGTCCGGTGGTGCCGTAGACCATGCCGTGGTACTCGTCCATGGCGTACTGTCTCCTCCAATGGTTCTGGTACCTTCTCCCGCCATGATACGTCCGATAATTGACGTAGTTGTGGACTGAGGGAATTTCGGCGGCGGCACCGGCGTCCTCGGTCGACGTATCGCTGTTATCGAGGAACGAACGAATTCGGTTATACCGGCCCCAGTCAGCCGACGGACGGAGCGTTGCGCAAGCATTCGCCTCGAGCGGTAGCGCGACATGATTGGGGAACACCTGGGAACTTCCCACAACGAGCGACCCGCCCATTACCGCGGGTTGTTGAGGCCGGTGGTGCTGCAAAGGAAGCGTGCCGTACATGCGATAGCTGTTGGCCACGAAAGGAAATTGTTGTGTTTGAGCTCGCTGCACCTGTTGTGGCGGCTGCTGTATCTGCGTTTGTTGTTGCTGAGGCTGTTGCTGTTGTTGTTGTTGCTGCTGCTGTTGTAGTTGTTGATGGCTCTGCGCGAGATAATCGGCGGAGGACGAGATGGCCTTCGGCTGCGGTCGCTGGAGCGTGCCGTTGCGGGAATCGTCTGTATCGCTGCAACTATCCAGAATCGATCGAGCACGAGAACGCCAATCCGACGAAGTTGACGGCGAGCCCGGAGTTGCGATGGACAGCTGTTGCTGCTGGGGCGTCTGTTGATGGTGTACGTAATACCTGTCCGCACAGTAGTAGTTCACCCTGGACGTACCGGGCTGGTTTCCGCCGAACAGCTCGGGACGCTCCCTGCGTCTCGTCGACGAAGGGCGTTCCCATTCGGTCGCCTCCTCGTACGACGGCGGGAACAGACCTTCGATACTGATTCCATTCGTGCCGAGACCGCTTTCGGAAGACCAAACCGTCGTTGTTGCTGTGCCGTTCTGAATCTGCTTCTGTATGATCAAAGCACTGGATTGCAAGTCTTGCTCGTCATACGGTGGAGGTGGACAGCTCGGCGTCGGAGGCGTTCGAGTCCGGTCTAGCGAACCACCCGAGAACACGAAAACTGTTTTGGAAATCTTTGCTCTCGAAGAAGCGTTCGACGAGGCGCTGCTCCTTCTCATCGATGGGCCCGCCTGTTCCCGTTGGCTGTTCCGCAGTTGGCTTTCCTCGTAGGTGGGAGGCTGACCTCGAACCCGCGAGTACAGGAGTAGTGTCTCGGTGCCCGGCGGTCCCGTCCCGTTCCCGATCAGCAGGGTGGGATTCACCGCAGACCCGCTGCTGTCCCGGTCGGATCTAGAGGCGAACTGAGCGTAGACCGCCGTCATCTGTATGGTCATTCGGTCGGTGTCTCGACCCTGTATTTTCACAGGAGCGAGAACGGGCAGTAGAATGACGATCACAACAAAGAGTCCAATCGATGCCACGATGACGGTGTCGAGTAGAAGGCTTGGTCGGGGCAATAGCGCCGAATGGCTCTGAGCCGCCGCGTCGGCTGCGACTCCTCCGGATACCAGGATGAAAAAAGTCAGAGCGAGCGCGAGCACCAGAGCGCATCCGAAACGGCAACATTCGCAAAGTCGCGTGCCCGATCCTCCGCAAGCGAACACAAATATTCCGAAAAGGACTCCCGACGCGATCATGTACAACGATACACCGAACGCGATGTAGGTCGTTCCTTGCAGCACCGTATAGCTCGCGACGACGAGAATCACGTAAAGAATAATGAAAGCGCATCTCGTCACGGTTTTGCCTTGCCTCTCCCAAAGGCTTTTGAGCTGCGATCTTCTATAAAGGTGTGCGTCCATAGCGCTCGCGTCGAGGGCGACAGCGGTGTTGGCGACAGCGACTCAAAACCTTAATGTGCTGTTTTATGTGTCGAATATGTCTGCCAGCCCATGCCTGCAAGAAACAAGACACTGCATGAACGATACCGCTATCAGCTCGCTCCGAGAGAAAACAGGCTCCTTTCGTGTACGGAATTTCGAAGCTGCTTTTTTTCGAAAGGTTCACTGATTGCCTAGCTGGCTGACATTGAAGGATAAGCAGTAGTCTTTGCGAGGCAGGGATTGGCAGTCATATACGCAATTTGCCTACGTGTGTTGTTTTTACTACGCGTTGCCTAAACCGCGGACTAGCCGACCTCTACCACCCTCGATCGTTCCTCTGGAATTTCGGACCGGGGCAAAGTTGAACACTCGAGCTGAATTTTCCGCCGATATCGTGTGACCTGACGTCGTCCGATTCGTCGATCGAAAAAAACACCCGTTTCGAGTTCCTCGGTTAAGGAACCGGACTTTGTTAGTCCTAACTACGATCGGAGGGGCAAGGTGCCACTTCACTCCGGCGATGGCACGAGAAGAGTCGTCCCAGTCTCATCTCGTGGGCAGGGAAAGTTCGCTTCCTGGATCGGAGATGGTCCTCAACGGATTCGTCCAGGTTTCGGAATGTTCCGACAAGATCGATCTCACGGTCGGTCACCGCCGCTGCGATTCAGCGTGCTCAGGGGAGATCCGAGATTTCATCCAACTAACCTTTCCGGCGCTTTGCTAACGGGTGGACTTGCGTCGGCTCCCTCTTATCATCGCTCGACGTCTCGTGTAGTCAACGTGAGGAGTTCCTTCACTCGAAAGTGGTCCAGAGGTGTTCCGGGGCTAGAGTAGGAGTAGGTTCGGCGATACCCCGAGCTGCTCCTGCTGCTGCGGAGACCATCACAGACGCATCAGGATTCAGCGCATGCGCGCTGCGTGGGTCGATGAAGCTCCGACGAGTTATCCTGAGAGATTCAGAGAGAGAGAGACCACGGCATTCAACGAGGGAACAAAGGGAGCAGATGGGCGTCTTGTCTCTCCTGACCCGCTTTGATTGAGACATTTACCGTTCTGGACGTTATATCGGGGGACCGTAGACCGACTCGTTCAAATTCCTCCAGGTCTTGTCTGGAGCCCCTTGCTCGACATTGGACGGAGAAAGAAGGTGCGCATCACACCCCGAAGCAACCCATGGACTGCAACGTCGGACTTCGGACGGAAAATCAGCCCCGCCGAACTGAGAGCAGGCTCAAAAGGATCAGGAAAACCTGCGAGTAGAAATCATTCTGACCAGCACCGCACGCCTCGTTCATTATTCCAAGACAGAAGGCAATTCGAGAACATCGGATTAGACTTTCATCGAAGATTCGACCCGAAGTTCAACTCCAGAATGCTTCTCACATCATTGGCCCGGGTTAGCCGACGAGCGGATATGGAGCGCGTTTTTCACACCGGCGCGGCGATGAAAGAATCCCTGTATCTGCCTTCAACCACATGAAGCGCGATTGGCGCTTCAGGTCGCCGCCCCCAGGGTATCCCGCTATGAGCAGGCTCCTTCAGAGGACGGCAGTCAGATAGATTTGAAGCTCTGGAATATCCCGTATATAGGCCCCATCCCGTAAATTTCAGCATCATCCTACATCTTCTCGAGACATGTATCCATGCCATAACTGAAGTCCTCCGATACAAGCTACCTCCATGCGCAAAAGCGAGCCTCGAGGTCTGATTGAAGGGAGACATAACAAGAGAAGATTGAATTTCCAACGAGATACGGATGAATGTCGATATTTTCTGCTGGAGAAATGACCGTAGAACGAGTCTCTCGGCTGCTGGTAGTGCTGCGGTGAATCGACCCGTATCAGAGGAGTCGTATGCATGGCTCATTTGTAAAACTAAAAATGACTATGACGCTTTCCGTAAGTACCCTCAAGCCCTGTTGAAAATGAAGAAGACTTGAAACTGAATGGAGATACTCCGCTCGCGCTGTGAGCTTCCGTGCGGCTAAGTCGGCGGCTTCCTATACTCGGTTCACGTCGGGAGCGGGCCTCGTACTCAGCCCGATCGTAAAGCTGAGTGAGGCTGCACATCAGGCTTTCGGAACGTGCTACCAGGGATACATCCCGGGTCATCCATATATTCTTGCTAGGATGGAAGCTCCCCTTGTATTGGAGGAATACAAGAAAAATTTTCCGTCAGATAGAGGAATGGGGGAGGATTAGTTTCAATGAATTCCCACCTGTCCCATGGGTCAAGATGTCTAGATGAAGTTCCTCGGTGGGCCACAGGGGTCCATGGGAGGTGTCCGTCAGACCGCGCGCGCAATCGGCGGGTTGCCGCGGACTGAAGCTCGGAAGAATGACCATGCTGCTTCGCGAACCTCGCTACCACCCACTATAATGATGAGATCTCATCATACGGAAGATCTCATAGTCAGGGGGGGGGGCGAATTTCTCCTGCGCCAGCGGTAGCTCGGTGCTGGAATGAGCGAACTGGCCGTTGCTTACAGAGATTTTCAGAGTCGTGCTTCGCAGAACGCGAAAATTCAGTCTTCCGAAAGCGGGAGGCCGGATAGGGGCTCGAATAGGAACCCTACCTGCAGTCACCTGCTTGAACGTGAAGCCTTTTTCGTGCCGACGCGGCGACGGCGTCGCCCCACCCATTCGTACCTCGCTGACAATCGTCTTCCTCGAGGATCGCGTACTCAGCCCAATTTCCTTTCTTTCTTCAATCATCCTCATTGTAGGCATGGGACAATCAGGCGCGAAATATGTTCCCTGAGCCTCTCGCGGACCATATTTGATGTCGGCATGGGGAACAGCTCGTGAGCCGTACGGGGAATGCTGGTGGGTCGAGTAATGTGGTCCCTGAACCGTGGCTTGATTTTCGCGTTTCCCTCCATCCACATTTTCCCTCCTCTGCTATCGAATACGTTCACCAAGGTTTGACGGCTGGAAAAACCGCTGATGAGCAAGAGAAGGTCCACGATGCACAAGCCGGGCACACATAATCGTCAAGAGAAGTCGGAGAGGGGGTTGAAGTCGTCTCTGAGCGTGGTCAGTATCTTTTGTGATAGATATTCTTCTTTGTGCCGAGGCTTTGCGTATTCCGGGATCGGAATGTTATCAAGATGCGTCGACTCGAAGCGTCCCGGGGAGCTCATTGACTTTCTCACGCGGTATCTGGCTCCGTCCGGGTATCTTCCGTAGATCCGCAATCTGCAAAACGTCTTTTGATACGCTCGCTCTCGATCTTATTGACTTTCTCCCGACTAACAAATGATCTGTCGCATGTTCGACGAGCACATTGCTGAAACATTCTCTCATCAGCGACGATGGCCGTCACAGCGCCTCGGAGATGAACGAATAGTTGGTTTCTGTAAGGGCCGTCGTGAAGCGCCCTTTCGCCAGTCTCTCCCAAGCTCTCAGCTGATCTCAGCTGTCGGCGCTCTCGCTGGTGTCACGGGAAGCCAGACTCGGAGAGTATGCGTTTCTGTCGGAGTCCGATCTGGGATCACTCGTTTTGGAGGGGTGACAAGGCTCCCGTTTTGACGCCATGCCTCGAAAACGTTCTCGTGACGCTACCCGGCGTGTTCATGCTGTTCGGCGGACTCCTTCGCCTGTGCTACCAAGGCACCGGACAGAACAAAAACCCACCGATCACGATCCTGCACCTGTGTAAGATAATCACGAGCGTCGTGTTGGCTCTTCTTCATCTGTGCAGCATTCTCCTGATGACGGGAAGCTCCGATACGGTGTCCGACTTCGCCTGCGGCAGCTTGCGATGTCTCAGTTTCGCAATGACGGTCATAGTCCAAACAGCTGACCGCCGGAAGAGCATCGCAAGTTCTACGTTCCTGGTGCTGTTCTGGGTACTGTGCATCGTGTGTGAAGTTCCAATCTACTACAGATGCTTGCTCATCGTGTTCGGTTATCACGAAGTTGAAGCCAGTCCTCCATCGGTTCCGGAGTTCGTGGTCATTTTGAGCGCGTATCCTCTGCTTCTGGTCCAGCTCGTTTTGGCGGCATTTTCTGAGGATCTTACTTCGGACGGCTTCGGACCGCGGAAGAGGAACCCATTCTACGCAGCCTCGCCAATATCTAAAGTCCTGTACGGATTCTTCACCGATCTGGTGATGAAAGGCTACCGGAAAGCTCTTGCAGTCAGCGATCTTCCGCCTCCACTGGATGAAATGACATCGAAACACTGCTATGACCGATGGAAGAAAACGGTCAAGAGATATGAAGCCGCGGGGGAAAACGTCAGCCTCCTCAAATCGATGCTCAGGACCTACTGGAGGGACATAGTGAAGGCCTGGCTGGTGGCGTGGAGTTTCTGCTCGATCCGAGTGCTATCGTTCCTCGCCTTGAATGAATTGATTCTCTTCCTCAGTACGTCGGATCAGCCGACTTGGAAGGGCTGCGCTTACTCGCTGATAATTTTCTTCGCATACACCTCATCGTCGCTCATGATTCGCTGGGCGGATTACTTTGCTGTCAACTTGGGACTGAAGTTGAAAGCGGTTCTCATCAGCGCCATTGTGAGAAAATCGCATCGCATCAGCAGCGCTGAGCTCGGCAAGTACACCGTCGGTGAAATGGTGAATCTGCTCTCGGTGGACGCAGATAAAATCAATCAATTCTCCTTCTACGTCGCCATCATGACTGGTTGTCCATTCTACATTACGCTGTGCACTATAATGTTGTGGAGATTCCTCGGACCGGCCTGTCTCGTCGGGATCTCCGTCATCGTGGTAATGATGCCCTTGACGGGCACGGTCGCATCGTGGACCCGGAAAGTTCAAGCGCAACAAATGAACTTCAAAGACTCTCGCTTGAAGTACATCAGCGAAATTCTCTCCAGCATCAAAATCATCAAGTTCTACGGCTGGGAACCGCCTTTCATCAGCCGGGTGCGCTGTGTCCGCTATGACGAAAACGTTCTCTTGAAGAAAATGGCTTATCTGATAGCGACCCTACGCTTCTTTTGGTCGACCACGCCGTTCCTGGTGTCCCTGTTCGCTTTCGTGGCGTATCTTTACGTGAACGGTTTCGTAGTCATTGAAACAAATGTAGCGTTCGTCTCGCTCAGTCTCTTCAACAGCATGCGATTCTCGCTCTCAATCATCCCTGACGTGATTTCGAACGCGGTGCAGACCTGGGTCTCCCTGCGAAGAATCGAAAAATTCCTCAACCTGAAAGACTTGACCAAGAATCTGATCGGCGATCAGCCGGGCGATGGAAATTCGCTACGCTGGGCGGGCGCCACCCTGCAATGGAGCGACTCCTCGGATAAGCCCGCCTTGGAGAATGTTCATCTAGAAATCAAAACCGGAGAGCTCGTAGCGATTGTCGGAAAAGTCGGTGCCGGAAAGTCGTCCCTCCTATCGTCGGTCCTCGGCGATCTACATTTGAAACACGGAAGAGTCGATCGGAACGGCTCGCTAGCCTATGTGCCCCAACAAGCATGGATTCAAAACGCAACAATCAAGGATAATATTCTTTTCACGAGAAGCTTCGAGCGGCAGCATTACCGTCAGGTGGTGGAGAAATGTTGCTTAGCAGAGGATCTGAAGGTTCTGCCCGGCGGGGAGCGGACCGAGATCGGTGAAAAAGGCGTGAATTTATCCGGGGGACAAAAACAACGCATCTCGTTAGCTCGCGCGGTTTATCAAAATAAAGATGTGTATCTCTTGGACGATCCATTGAGCGCCGTCGATGCCCACGTTGGATCAGCTATATTCAGGGATGTCATCGGAAACTGCGGCATGCTGAGATCGAAAACTCGAATATTCGTCACCAATATGCTCTCAATCCTCCCGTTCGTTGATCGGATCGTGTTCCTCAAAGACGGGAGGATCGTTGAGCAGGGTACTTACATCGATTTGAAAAACTCGACGGCGGAGTTCGCAGATTTCCTCAAAGAGCATGCGAGCAGCTCGAGTCAAAACCAAACGAGAATCGATCCAGAATCGAGCCCCGTCTCCCCGAATCAGAGATCCATGAGCATAAGCTCCATCGAAAGCACCAGAGAAGCGAACGATGCACTGATTATGGAGGAAGTCATGGAGTCGGGGAATGTGAAGTTCTCCGTTTATCGTCGGTATTTCTCGAAAGTGGGTTCGCTCCTATGTTTGTCGATAATTATCGGTTTTGCTGGAGCCCGGACATTCGATGTGATGGCCGGATTATGGCTGAGCGAATGGTCGAGAAACGACGCGAAGGAAGAAAACGGGACCAGCTCAATAGACGAGGAGCAATACGCCACGCGCACAAAACGGATTCTCATCTATGCAGCTCTAGGTTTCCTCTACGGAGCTTTTTCATTCCTTGGGACGGCTTGCCTCGCTAACGGTACCGTGAACGCCGCGAGGAAACTCCACAACGCCATGCTGGACTCGGTCATCAGGGCTCCGATGAGTTTTTTCGACACGACACCACTGGGCAGACTCCTGAATCGATTCGGAAAAGACGTAGATCAACTCGATATCCAGCTACCCGTCGTGGCGAACTTATTTTTCGAGATGTTCTTCCAGCTGATGGGAGTCCTGGTCCTGATCGCGTACAACGTTCCAGTGTTCCTGATCTTCTCCTCGCCATTGCTTGTGCTGTACTTCATATTCCAGAGACTGTACATGACGACGATACGTCAAATCAAACGCCTCGAGTCCGTCACCCGTTCTCCAGTCTACAACCATTTCAGCGAGTCGCTGAACGGACTGAGTAGCATTAGAGCCTACGGTGCTCGCAGCGAGTTTGTTAAAAAGTCCGACGAAAAGGTCGACGTCACACAGAACTGCAGTTATCTACTTTTTATCGGGAAAATGTGGCTGGGAACGAGACTGGACATCGTATCGCACTTCATGGTTCTCGTTTCCAATATCCTGATTGTGACCCAGCAAGGCATCATTCACCCAGGGGTGGCGGGATACATCGTGTCCTACTCGATAGGGACATCGTTCGCCTTCAATTTCATCGTTCACTACGCGTCCGAGGCGGAAGCCGCCATAGTCGCCTCGGAACGGCTGGAAGAATACTCAGAACTCGATCCGGAAGCTCCGTGGGAAACTGACGAGAAACCTCCGCGGGATTGGCCAGCCGCTGGAGAAATCGAATTCCAGAACTACGCCACGAGGTATCGTCCCGGATTGGAGCTCGTCCTGAAGAAAGTGAATCTCCGAGTCGCACCTGGGACAAAGGTCGGAATCGTCGGAAGAACCGGGGCAGGGAAATCTTCGATGACGTTGTCGCTTTTCAGAATACTCGAAGCCGCCGAAGGCCGGCTCTCGATCGACGGGATGGATGTGTCCAAATTGGGCCTCCACGACCTGCGGCCGCGCTTGACGATCATACCGCAGGATCCCGTAATTTTCTCCGGCACTCTCCGCATGAATCTCGATCCGAATTCGAATCACACCGACGATGAGCTCTGGAACGCGCTGGAAAAGGCTCACGTGAAGGAGCAGTTTCGAAATAATGGACTCGATACGGAAATCGCTGAGGGCGGAAGCAATCTATCGGTGGGACAGCGTCAACTGATCTGTTTGGCGCGGGCGATTCTACAAAAGAAACGAATTCTCATCATGGATGAAGCCACCGCTGCTGTCGATGTCGAAACGGACGCCCTCATCCAGAATACGATTCGGGCTGATTTCTCGGAATGCACCATCATCATCATCGCGCACAGACTCAACACAGTTATAGACTGTGACAGGGTGATTGTGATGGACAAGGGTGCCGTTGTGGAGGAGGGGGAGCCGACGAAATTGCTCCTGGACCCTGAATCTCGTTTCCATATGATGGCCAGGGACGCAGGCCTCAGAGCATTAGGTGGGGACGCGATTCATGAGTGATTCGCGATGGGAACTGTTACGTGCAACTGTTCGAGTGGAGCGCTAATGTTTTCTCAGCCTCCCCAGACTTGTCTCAATGCGAATCTCCGGAAAGGATACTTAGTGATTTTACACCGAAGGACCGACATGCTTCTTTTGCATCCGAGGACGATGAAAAAAATACAATATTTTCAACCCTTGAATCGTTGAATAAATCTCCTAATATATGAGAGTTTACTAGAGAATGCTCCTTGAACTGATTACACATTTTGGTTCCTTCGATCGATTGATACCATGCGGAGCTTGCGATTCGTCTCAACTCGAAGGAGTGGCGATGCCATCCGAGGATTTCGCAAGCCCCGGGCATCTAAAGTCCCGCGTACAAGGAACCCTTTTAGTCGCGAAACCGAGCCGCGTATGAGGAATCTTGCGCATTAGGAACCACGCGTATTGGGAACTTTCCGTATTAGGAGCCTCGCTTATAAGGGACCTTCCACATGAGGAACGTCACGGAAAGAAAAAGGCTCCGCCCGCCTGAGTACGCTGAGAAGAAGTTCTTTCTATGTGAGGTTCTCTGTGTGGGAGGTTCCATATAGGCAAGGTTGCTAACACGAGAGGTTCCCTTTACGAGTGGTTACTTGTAAAGGGACTTTAGTCTTCTGAGGGTAGCAGCAGTCTCCAGAGTAGTGCCATCAGTCATCACTGAAGCCTCGCGCTGAGTATTGCAAGCAGTGATCAGCTTGCTCATCTGCGAATACATCGCGCGGAGTATCTCCGCTCAGACGACTCTATGATTGCCGCGACTAAGGCGTCTGGACGAGCCCGGCACACAATTCCTTTACTGGAAACCAGGGTTTCCAGCGTAATTCCATCGCCTCGCGTTGAAACCGGGAATATTCCACAGACAGCCATCATTCATTTTAATGTTAAGCCTCTGTAAGCTGGAAAATGCAAAACGGTGCCAATGCCGTCGGTGCCGCGTCCGGCTCGGAGTTCTCCGACCCTCGAATTCCGCGTACCCTTCCACCCAGCTCGAATGAGGATCGGAATGAACCCCCCGAGTCCCAGATCCGAGATTACCGGTCCTATCTCTATCATTGAGCGCATGTGCCACGTAGTGAAGTTGATAGCTGATCAGTATGCTTAGAGCGGTGGTTCCTCCACGAATCGTCAAGAACGAAGTAGAGGAAGGCGAGTCCCCCCGGAAACCCTGGTTTCCAATAAACGAATCGTGTGCCGGGCTCGTCCAGAGCTCGTCGCGGCAATCATTGAGTCTTCTGACGATGAGCTGAGATACTCCGCGCGATGTATTCGCAGATGAGCAAGCTGATCACTAGAGCCCGTGACTTCATGCAAAATGCATATAATGCATAAAAATGCATATTCTGGGCTTTTCCTCCTGAAGATGCATATTCTGCGCTTTGGGGCATAATTCTGCATATCCCATATTTTCCCCATCGATTCTCGCGGGTCTCGACGCTGAGAGCGACGTACAGCCATGGTCAACCGAGAATAGATGGGAACGGTGACGAATCGGATACATCTTCCCGGATTTAGACAAGTTGGTCTCCAACGGGAAGAAAATTTTCCTGAAGTCTGCCGATCGGGTGAGCACATTCCGCGAGATCGCCCCCGGAGTGCCGCTGCCACCCCAGCCAGTTCTGACAAGATGGGGTACCTGGTTGAACGCAGCCGTCTATTACGCCGACCACTTCCATTCATTTTCGTAAGGTTTTGTAAGCTCTGGACGTCAAAGACGCTGCGAGCATCGGAGCGGCTGCTCAATTGGTGAGGAAGCCCTCTGTAGGGAATTATCGCTCTTATAAAAGCAAACTCCGGAGAGCTCCCGCATGCCATCGAGAAAGTCGAACCGAAGGGACTGTCTTTGGTAGGAAGCGTGGGTATCTTCGAGGCACTTGTTAAAGATCTCAAGAAAACACCCGGTGATGTTGGGGATTTGGTCCCTAGGAAATGCGATGCGGTTTTGATTCGTAATGGCGGCTTCAAAATTCTCAAGGATGTCTCGGACATACTTCAGGGGGGCAGCTCCACGGATAGTCTCATTGGTCGCGACCCCTCGGAGATAGCCTGCTTCAAGTACGCACCGATCACGTCGGTGGATGTTGAAAGGAGCTCCTCTAGTTTGAAGCAACTTCTCAGCGCCCGTCGTCAGAGTTTTACGTTTTAAAATTTGAAGATGCATCTCATTGTCTACTGTAACCCGTAACCTAAATTGTGCCTGTATTAAGCAGGATTGAGTCAATTCCAGAAAGTATCATAAAACCTGAACGAAGCTCCTATTTTTTTGTGCATATTTCTCTTTTTCAATGCATATATCGGCCCTTTTTCAGGGCATACTTGCATGCATATTTCCGGTTTTTATAGTGCATGAAGTCACGGGCTCTACTGATCACTGTTTGCAATACTCAACGCGAGGCTTTAATGATGGCTGATGACACTACTCCGGAGATTGCTGCTCCCCTCAAAAGTCACCCACTCAGGAGAAAACCGTCAATGCGGACGAACTTACAGTCAGCATGAAAGTCGTGGGCACGGATGCGCTTCTTGTAGCGACAATCGTCCTTGTCGAATTCGTCCACGGCAGAAACAGCTTCGACGCTTGTACTCTCGGGCGACTCCGGGTGAGCGAGTCATTCAGGGCTTCGCGATTCGCGGCATCTGCGTTCCCTTGCATGATTTCCGATGTGCTCTTGAAGTACAAGCCTCCGACTGCCTTGGTGGTGAAGGTCATCGCTCCGCTGTGTTTCATGGTCAGAGCCTGTTACGCGCTCACCCTCCACAATCGAATTAACAATCGTGAAGAGTTTCTCGCAATGACCGGATGCTTCATCAATTTTTGGATGAACTTGACCTCTATGGACGTTTTCAACTACTACGGGCTGCCAAAAAATGAAACCGAAGGCTTTGTGGACGGGGCATACCTGAAATCCTTGCTGACCGACAACGCTCGGTGCTTTGAGGCAGTCGGTTTGGAAAATTTGGACATTGGACCCGACCTGGGTATCGCTATGTTGAGGTGGATCTTCGATAAGCTCTTATAGTGACTTCCTGGATTTTTTCCGTTCTACTCGAGCTGATAAAAACATCGACTGGATGTCTAATTGTACATACATACATTGTATTTCCGTTTCTGGCGTTGATCACTCACGAGTCGCGAGAGAAAATCGAGGTCAAGACCCAGAAGGGAATGTCCGCGCAGACGCGGAGTCCTTAGTGTCGTTATTGTCATTATTAGGGCTGGGATTTCTATGAAAATCATATTTTTACGCTTATTCGCATAAGCCCTCTTCGGACTCGAGATGCATATGCGGAGAATATCTGTGCATATTCTGGCTATTTTCGTGCCAGTTTCCTTGCTCACTTTGCGCTCAATCATAAATTCAATGGACTAGCATAGAATACACGTGCGAGTGATGGAATCCGCTTACATTAGCCAGATTCGCGATTCGCTCTATTTTCGCCCATGTCGCTCGAGGTCTCCCTCTGAATCTCAGCGAAGCACGATTAGGGAGGAAGAAGGAACTGCCTGCTATCCACTCATCGGGACAAAAACACGACGCCGACGCTGTCAAGATCAAGTTCGATGTCGCTCTCGACACCTCAGTCAAGCGGCCGGTCAGCTCAGAGTGTTTGCAAGTGTCTCGGTTCTCCATTCGTGAATGGACTCAAGATGCCGAAAGCAAAGCCTTCCGCAGCTGATAAAGTGGCTGTGTAGGGAGCCGACAAACTGTCGTGTGACGGGGACGCCATTCTGTGTAGACTACGCGTGCGACGAAATTGAGGATGAATAAACACGTGGAGTCCAGAACTCGCGAGGCGGCTGTCAAGCGCTCCCGCCAGGGCCGACGATCTTCGGCGACGCGGCAACAGCAATTGTCCGCCGATTTGCTGGATGGAGCCGCGAGCTGTGCCGATTGCGGAATGTCATGCGAGGGGCACTGGGGAAGGAGCCACCGGAACACTAGTTGAAAAGAAACTTCTCTTCAAATTCGCTCCCCTGGTCTCCTGGAAGGTCGAACGGTCATTGTACCACTAAAGATGCATATTTCGCGAAAAGAGACACTCGTTCCTTCTCGAGAAATTGAAAAATTAACGTGGTCGTTCCTCGTGATCCTCATTTCAGCAAATTGACGTTGTAGATGGGGAAGAAAAGCTTCGTGTCAAGGATGAACCATGCCGATTGTTAGTCATATTCCGAAGCATATTCTGTCTCATCATTCTCGCATACCACATGCATATTTTTCTCAGCCCTAGTCATTATTGCTTCGTTTTCGAACGATTCGTCTCGGTACTCGGTATAGAGGGGACAGAAGGAAAGAAAGATCAATATGGATTCTATCGATGCTGCTGAACTGCAATATGGCACCTGCGTGCGCTCCTACGGCCTCACTCGCGGTGAGCTTCCATGGAAACGCTTGAAACTTGAGTTGAGAGAAAACTGTAAAGCATTTTTCCGGTAGGAGATCGGTCTGCCAACGGAGGAACATTCCCGTCCCCGCGCTACAATTACGGCGTCAGTAATGTCACGACGATACCAAGTCCGAGTGTCATAATGAATATCTCATGACGGAAATATTAAGCGATTGCTCTAATTAGTCGAAATATCCTCGCTGCCGATGGATCGGGCCTGATTCCGATAGCGTTCAATTAGTAGAGACAAGTCGACAGTAGAGAGGAGTCAAATCTCAGGTCCCCTCGCCATTTTCGGAAAGTCGGATCAATCGTATTTCAGACACTCGGATCCATTGAGATTGTCGCACTGGAGCAGCATATCCATTTAAATCTTGACTAGCAATCATCACAAAGGAAGCTTAGAGCTTATCGACAACGTCATAAATTTCTGCGCGGATAATATGATAGTTCCACCAATAGCTTCTCTGCGACATCACGTCGACCGTTTCCCGGTATTTCCCGCGGAACAGAGAAATGATTAGAATCTTCGTCTCCGATGCCAACAGGGGTACAATCCACAGAGTTCGAGTTCGGAGGATTTGGATGGACTCGCGCCAGAGAGCGATTCTGCGCCCATTCCGGGAATATCCCGGGAACGTATTAGGACGCTCTCCTCGCATAAATTAGGGCAGAACATATCAGAGTCCATCCCTTCAGGCGACTTCGTCCAAGGAGAGGATATTCTCCGCGTATTCAAGGACCACTCCGTCCCCCGGTGAAATTTGAATGATCTCCCGCATCGTAGCTAATTGCCGGACCTTGCCATCAGCGTCCACTCGTCGACGAAGCACCTGGAAAAGCGACGCCGAGGTCAGAGCTCTGGTGGAAATGTCTCCGGTCTATGGTTGAGGACCCACGCGATCAGCATAATGAATTTGTTAGAAAGAGAGAATCCGATTGGATTAGTCCATCATTCCTGGACATCCTTAATACCTCGTGATAGAACAAGAATTCTGTCAAATGCTCCGGGTTCCGATCAATGTAGGACTTTAGGAGCTGATCGAAATTGAGCTCTTCGACGAGTGTTGAATAATATCGCGCAACTTCTAGGAATACGTGGCCATCTTCGAAATTGGCCTCTTGAAACTCCAGGAGTACCTCGTCATCCCTTTGTTGAGCTTTCACGAACTCTCGGATGTGTAGCGCCGCGACGTAGCCCATGAATATAGTAAGGAGGGGACTAGCTTTGTTTCCTTCTTCTTTGGTGAATAGATGTTTGTCTGCGTATTTTGTTAGAACGTCAAACTCGTGGGTCATCTCGGGGTATTGCATCATAATCAGCAGAAGCTCGAGGGCTGCGAGACATCGTATCCTCTGATCGACTGGCACTACGCTCACAGCGAAGTCGGACATGAGTTTTCGGTCGAGTTTGTCTGATGGCGTTGGAATGCCCATTCCACCCGAGAGTGCCGGGAGGGTGAGCTGAATGAGAGCATCCCTTGATGGGGAAGTTCTCAGGACGCTCTCAAATTGCAAACTGTTCGTCTACTCGCCGGAGGTCCCCCTCGGCCATGAAGGCCGGACTAGCTCGCAGCAGGTAGGTTAGCTTCGGCACTCCGGCTGATCGCTGCAAGATGTCAGTCGCCTCATGACTGCTCACGAAGAACAGTCGGCGGAATATGACGTAATATGCGTCAGACTTGCTCATGAGCGCCTTTGGCGGACCGGATTCGAACAGGGGGGCGCCCAGCAGCTCAACAAGGCTCTCGTCAGGGAGCAGACGGCTGCCAGGTAGGCACTCGGAGGAGAGACGGTGCGCGCAATACAGCTCGACCGCAGAAGTGCCCTGAACGAAGAGTTCGCTTTTGGCGGGTTGAATCGTAGGGCCGTGGACCGCCGTGGATGGATAGATGGGTGGATGGATTTCTTTTTATTGTAGGGAATTTCACAAGAAAACAGGGAATGTTCTAACAAATAATAATCAGCCACTCAGGAGGGTGAGCTCTCTGAGGGCAACATTTTGGGCCAGTCCGCCCGAGATCATCCTCGCGTTGCCGCGCTGAACCTCTATCGCAATGCGCTGACGAATGAACGACATCGCACGTTTGTTCCCCCCCTGGCGACTACACGTTTGCCAATTTCCCTCAACAGCTTCAAAGCATCTTCACCTCCGACTCCCGCAGTATCGATCACAAACGGAGCAAGATTGTACTCGCCAAGCAGCGTCTCATACTTGGTCTTCTTGTCGAGCTCTCCTCTTGTGACCACTGCTCTAGCATTTCGAGAAATCCGCCGATAACAAGCGGCGTGGGCGTCTCTAACCGACACGTCCCAAATCAGCCGTCGACCCCGAAACCATGGCTCGTGGGTTATACCGTCCGGGCGCAACTGGTCATTCGGGGACAGATTTCGGGGCTCTTTGGAGTTTGTGACACCAGCCTGCTGTTGCGCTCGGGACAGCAGGTCATTTACTGCTCGATGGCGGGCTAGTCTGCCGGATCCCAGAGAGTTACAACTGAGACGATGGAGGCCTCGACGATCTCGCGTCGTGCCGCACGGGAAAGGATCTTCGTCGATCAGGGGCAGGCCGAGTCTGAGACCGGCGGCGAAGATGAAATCTCTGTCTGACAGCAGGGTCCCTATGTTCCTTGAAGGCAGAGCTTGAAGCCACCATCCCGACTCAGGAAGAGACGCGTGGGAGAGTCGAATTGCATCAACTCCTGATTCCGACAATCGCGAGCAGGGTTCCGAAAGAACGGGCTCATTCGCGATCTTCGTCCACTCGTGTTGCTGGTGGCGATCGTCTTCGGAGGGTGTCGAACCGAATCGAGTAAAGAATTTCTCCGTCACGAGGTCCATGAGGTGTCTTGACGGGTCATTCAGAGGGTCACGAACGTCGACTGCGGCCGCGTAACAGGAGGCAGCAAAGGCAGCCAGTGCGATGTCCGATGGAGTCGGGATGCCCCTACCGCCTGAGAGGGCGGGGAGACTCACAAGGGAAGTACTGAACATGCCCCACGCCGATCGGGCTGAAACTTCAGGCTTTTTTTCTCCTACATGGGGATAGAAGAACCCTAGAATATTACCTGCGTGTGGCCACCCTGAGTATGTTCATTTGACTGACGAAAATTGGCCCTTCAGCATTGGATTCTATGGACTCATTGCAATGCTATGCAGAATGATGATTATATGCTTTATTTCACAGTTTTTCTGTAGATTTCTACTTGAATTAGGCGCCAGAATGCCGTCTCTATTCTGAAATCCACTGTTTGTTTACATAGACTCCAGACGACGCG